GAGTCTCCTCACCCGAGAACTCATTGCAGTTGCTCGTGAGCGGTCGATGGAAATCCCGAGAGATGTGTGGTACGTATTGCCGCCGATATTATCTGCCGCGGCACCCGTTGGGGCCATAAGGATGACCTCGTGTTTCCGTCCGACAAGGCTCATACCAGCTTCAATTGCCTTGACGATCTGGCTCTTCCCTGTGCCGCCTTCACCTCCAACGTAGAGGAGAGTCTGCTTCCGTTGCGATGAATCATAGGGATGGTCCGCCCAAGTCAATGCCTCAGAAAGCACGCTCTCCACGATCAAGTGTTGCTTCTGATTCAGAGGGATCACCTCAATGACTAGGGATGTAAGAGATGCGCCGGTAGGATTCTCGCCAACCCGGGACTGGTGATCATCTATATCAGGGAACATATCGAAACTAGTCAACGCGGGCTGGAAGATGTTATCTTCAACCTGGACGTCGAAATCGTCGAGTGTAAGGCTGGATGTGGCAACCTCACGCTCCGTGGTATCTTCACGATCAAGGTTGGCGAAACCTTTCAGTCGAGATTCCCACTCCTGTAAAGTAGACGGTGGGACGAATTGCAGGCCAGATGTTTCGTACGCAAGAGTGCGTGGGATATCAAGCGGCTGGAGGTTTTGTAGATCTAAGTTTCGAGTTGGGGTTGTTGCGCGTAGCAATGGAGGGATCCGTCGTCCGGCTACCAGAGACTCTCGATGCCATGCTTTGGTGATGGAGTGGTAGGCTGCGATCAATGTCTCTGCATTGAACGTCTCATCTTGCAGGCGAAAGGATCCTTCCGCATCATCGCTATCAGAACCGAAAGTTGCGGGCTCCAGCTCATCGACATCGTGGTGAAATGAGTCAGCGGCGCCGTTCGCGGACTTCCATAATTTGGCATCCGCCTGGCAGTCTTCCTTCGACTTCCGCAGCAATTCAATGTTTCTTGCAAAAGCTCGGATGTGAAATGGGAGGGTTGGTTCAACGGCCGTCCATACTTGAATGCAAGTGTCCCGTTGTGTCGCATACCGTCGGAAGAGATTTACCAAGTGAGTCCAGGGAACAAAGAGCCCCAACAATATCTCTGACATGTCATTTATGATCGCGGTCGTTTTCGGATGCCCTCCCAGAACGGCATCTTCCGCGGCTTGGAATTCGGTCAGTTGACCACTGAAGGTCACAGTGGCCACCTGAGATGGGGAGCGGGCCAGGCGCTGCACATGAGTGGTATATCTAGGATGGCTTGGGTCGAAGTCTGCATCATCTGCAATAGCATCGCGAATATTCTTGGTTTTTACAAGCATACAGTATTCAAATAATGCGAGAGAGGCCAGGTGCGGTCCGCGCCACTTATAATTATCAAAGATGCTCACAGGGGCGGTGTCGCCAGTTTCGTATGCGCAAGGTTCTTCTGCGATGGAGTCGGAAGAGCGACTCCTGTCAAGGTTATCTGACCGAATTATTGCTCGGACATAACGCCTTAACCACCAGAGGTTGATGCGAGTAAAACTGTAGTTGACCGTGTAATAGGTGGGTAGTTGGAGCAACACGCTCGCGACTTGGACGCCGCTGATCTCCCGGTCATGAGAGAGCGTGTTGAAGCAGCGTAGTGCAAAATTCCCCATACCCTTTTCTCGAAGTCGTAGGTCTGTTGCGGTTGGTGGATCAGCTTTTCTTGCCTTCTCAATGGAATGCCTCAATAGAGCCGCCTTAGCTACTATCTGCCACGGGGAGACATCATCTTTCGTGGCATAGTTCGTGATGTAGTAGATCAGAGACAAAGACTTGGAAACCGTTGGAATCCAAGAGATGTCCTGATTAGACCGGACACAACTTGCGATGGCCGGGTTCCACGGATTTATCCAAGCATGATTTCGTGCGAGGTGAATCAGACCAAACTTATCTATGTAGGAGGTAGGAACGAGGTCTCGAGGCATGCCGAATCGACAGGCATTCTTGCCTGATGCCGTCTTCCGGTATTTGAAGCATGTGGCAAGATGGTTTTTGGAATGGACTTGCATTTTACGAGCGACGCAATTGCTATCAATGGAGAGTCGGAGATGAAAGTCGTTATCGGATTCATTGTCAGTGGCTGAAGGTGATATGCTGGGAAGATTCACTTCAGGGTCGTGGAGAATACTCTCATCGACGCCTTGAGTAATGATTGACTCCAAGTAGCGAATCATGCGAGCCGCAAAGTCGCTATCCTGGAGCAGGCGATCCCGTAAGGTAGTGAAAGCAAGATTCCCCCTGGCCCATGCTAATCCATGGAGATGCAGCATACCTCGACCGTTCGTCTCGACAACAGCAAAATGGTTCGAGAGATCACCAAGGATACCGGTCTGGCCGGTATTGGTCGCGAAAAGGCCATCCAGGATGGCTTTGCAGACGTGATTGAAGAATTCAGCAACAGCCACCGGATTAGAGGTGGCTGCAGCCTCACGAATAGCGGCATTTGCCGTAGCCAAGTTGACTCCAGAGTACTCTACGCCTGCCAGAATCAGCACTAGTGGGTTCCGTAGATCGGAGGGGTTGATCGTGATCCAAAAAGCGGGCATGCCGTATCGGGCAATCAGCCCTCGAATTTCAGAACGCATCCTTAGTTTCTGGGCGAAGGATCCAGGGACCTGCATCCCGATGGTCTCGATGTTACGTAGCAGTCGTCGGATGATCAGATCCTCGATTTTCTGGCCAGCTGCCGCCGTCTTGGCTGCATCCTGGAGCTGGTTCACCGTCAGAGAGGCGATGTCGTTCATGGTGGACTGCCAATTCTGTCGTTTTACGAGGAACCCATTGCCCATCGACGACTTCCGGAGCTGGATCACATCATACAGCAGGTACATGAAGGTTTTGTGGCGTGCGAACCTGGGCGAGTAAGTAGAGGCAAGCCTCAGCAAGAAAATATCGTAAAGAAAGCGACCTACCTTCTACTGTGGTGACGCAAAGCCCAGTCGGCAAAAGCGGCAAGCGACACAGGGATGGTTCGCTCATCCAGATGGCCCCCGATCCCTGCCGGAAACAAGGTTGGGAATGCGGCGGTAAAATAATGCGGATCTGTCCAGTGATCCATCAGGGTCGCTTCTCCACGGATTGTGTACGAGACCACCGGTATCTTTCGATGATCGAGGAGCTGCGTGTTTCTCTCACTCTCTCTGGCGGACATGACCTCACGCGACGGGGGAGGTCTGTTCGTGACAACGCTAACCAATGCGTCTAACGCACAAACATTGGGGTCCTGACGTTCTCCATTAATGTCCGTGAATATGGAGCCGGTGATATGAGGTCCACCGCCATTGGAGTCAAGAGCACTATCCTGGGCCGCCTGAAGGTCGTTCTCGTAGTTCCCCTGCCGCAGGCTTACGGTGTACCCCTCACGCTCATGGTGATCGAGCTCGTCGAGACAAATAATGTTATCGCGTAGCTCTGGTGGGATGAAATCATCGCTCCAGTCGTCAATCATGCGATAGTTGACGGTGATATTATGGTAGAGGTGGTTATGTTGAACAAGGTATTGTAAGGCCGCCAGAACCTTCGCCTTCCGAACGGCCAGAAATGGACTCAGGTCTGAATCTACAGGGGGTCGAGCACCCAACCAGAACACTTTGATCAGGCTATGCAGCGTTAAGTCTGGGCCCGGCAGGATGTCGAGTAGTGGTCCTGGGTCTTGTGGAATGACAATAAAATGACCGCGGAGGGCGTGATAATTAACTGGCGAGGAACGGCCGCCGGGGCGTAGTTTCAAAACGACGCCGAGAGGATGGCACTTTGCGATGAGATATTCTTCCGACAAAGTGAGATCTTTCAGAGCGGGCGGATAGTTCTGGCACATAGTCACATTCACCATATTTCGTGCAGAGAACTTAGGGATAATATTTCGATTAAGGGAAGCGTGACAAGACGAGCAGAGATCCCAAGTGTTATCATGTCGGCCGCAAGTATCAAGGGCCCCCCTTAATGGCAGCAGTAATGGGTCCATGTCATGCACATTATAGATATTGCTTTTAGGGACTAGCTTCCCACACGAGCAACAGACATCCCTATTCGCAGCCGCTGAAATCTCTTCTTCGTATCTTGCTATCGACGTCCGTACATGAGAACTGGAGACCTCGGGGGAAACGCATTGGAGGCGGCGGAGCGAGCATCTACCTCATCACGTAGGAATCCCAGCGCTTGATTCAAAGTGTCCTGGAACGTTCGGGGATCTAGCGTTCTTTGCTTTTTAATTGTCGCACGTAATGAAGCCGGAATGCACCTTTTCACTCCGGCGGCCTGGGGTGGTTGGGAGACTAGTGACCGCTCGGTGCTTGGATCCAAACGGCGAGGGGCGGGTTGAAGCACAGCGTTTGAAATATCAGATGACTCACGCGAAGTCAACGGTGCTTGCAATACTGGAGCCAGACGCCTTAAAAGAGGACGACTTGGTGGCATAGTGGAAAGCCTACTCTCCTCCACTGCAGCGGCAGCGCGTTGGCGAGCCTTGACCTTCCACCGAGCAGCCTTCCGGCGACAACCATCGCAGGTCACAAACTGAGTAGAGAGCCATGGTCTGGCACAACCTGTGCAGAAAGGACCCTGCGTCGTGGAAGACAACATGTGGGAGAGAGTGGATCTGGTAGACGGTATGATCCCCAAGCCTATGATGAAAGGATGAATGGCCAGGCAGAACATGGCAGGAGGAAGAACAAGGAGTGAACGACATATAACAGGTATCGGGAGGGGACCTTGCCTTTTGGTGGGAGGTAAACGAATCCCCTCCCCCGGTGCACGTTTCGTCACACATCCCTGTACTCGCATGGCCTCCTCCATCCCTACTCGTATAAATAAAACGCAGGATCACATTCGTGGAAGGGCGGACGTGCATCCGGGCAGGTATCTGCGGGAAACGTGGCAGACAAGGATCAAGGGACAAAAGGGCGGCACAAAGCCACAGGCGGACCAGGATACAACGACAAGGAGAAAAAGCAAAAGAACAAATGAAGCAACGGGGGACGGAAAAGAGTACAACATGACGCGAAAAGGAAGCGGAAGCACCACGGAACAGGCCAATCTACCGCAGATGCAAGAAGGAGGCACACGTGAGGGAACCGGGGCAGCAGCGAACGAACAGCAAAAGAACGAGAAAGAAGCAGCAAATAAGAGCAACTCTTGGCAAGAGAACAGGCGAACCAGCGCGAAGAATCAGCGAAGAGGTTGGCAGTGGGATGGGCAGCGAAGCCTTGCGGGCAGGTCGCGCAGGGTAGTATACCCTTCACTCCGTTCCTTCGTTTCAGGGCATGACAATGTGCAATCTGCCCTCCGCGCAATGTCAAAGTGGATCCCTCCTTGGCTCAGCGTGGATGTCTGTTGAGCCGTAATTTCCGACTTACGTGAACAAGATACCGCTTTGGATGTTCTCATCCTGCCCTCCACCACCTTTTACTTCGGTTTTCCGAGGGGCTGTGCACGACAGTACTGTATCATATGAGACACTGTGTCTTTCTCCGCTTCTCCCAAAATCACGGACTAAAATCAGAGACTAAAATAGTAAGTCGGAAAAGCTCCGGTGAAAAACACACAAAAGAGTAAATGTCGGGGTTCGGAGCGCGAATGCGCCGTTTCTCAGTTAAATGGTATGGGTAGCGTAGCCTGCCGAGCAAACTTCAGCGTGCGTGTAAGTGAACATAACCAAAATCCGCTTAAACCCACCCAAACCGGGCATTACATGGTCGCGGAGATAGCCATTCGGGCCAAGGAGATAAAGGACGGTTTTTCCACTATGACTCGGCCTCCGATGTGCCGAGCACATTCGGCTCTAATACCGCTATCTGGATGGCAGCAACTACTTACTGCCTGCCATGCAGAGCTAGCCCCGGTCAATATAAATACAGACCTTCACGTAGAGCATAGATGTGGATGGCTATGCAAAGCTTGCCTAGTCTTGATCCAACTGTACTCTAACTTCCCATTTTCAGCAGACAGATAAATGACGTTCGAAATACTCGGCAATGTGTCAAACATCTCGCGTCCACTTGGTCAGGACCTACGCGGGAAAACAGCGCTCGTGACGTACTGCCCCATTTCCTTGCATTTCTGATATCAAGAGGAATCTCGAGTTGAAACGTGCTCTGCAAAGTCATGTATTAGGTACTAACATGAATTAGTGGAGCAACTCGAGGTATTGGGCGAGCAATAGCGTTCCATCTTGCAAGTCGCGGAGCGTCAATTTTGGGAACGTTCTCTTCCCCTGAGTCAGCACATCGGCTTGACGAACTCAACCGCACGGTGCTTGACCTATACCGCGGTTTGGAGGGCCACGCACCTAAAATTGTTGGAGTTGCCGCCAATGTGCTCTCCCTTGATAGTCCCAGGCTGATAAAGGAGGCTCTCATTGGCCATTTCGAAGGCAAAGTGAACATTGTTATCAACAACGCCGCCTATGATCCAATGCGCGCAATGGGAAAACTCGATGATGACTATGTGCAAAAGGTATTGATGGGAAATACGCATGCTTTAGTTATGCTGATGGATGCCCTTTATGCAAACAACATCATTCAACCGAACTCGAGGATTATCAACATATCAAGCGAGTCAGGTCGCAGAATCCCATTTCCGTAAGTTAATTCCCCATATATCGAACAAAGCCGGTGGAGGGGAGTGCTGGACACATTAACTGACTCTTGCAGAGAGATGTATCTAGTTGGAGCTACCAAAGCAACAATGGAAGCACTCACGCGGTCTTGGGCTGACATATTGGGCACCAACTCTATGACAATGGGTACGACTGTGAACGCTCTCCTGGTTGGTGCAACCGCCACAGATACCCTTCTCCGGGAGGCTCCCACTTCATTTCGACAGAAGGCGACTGATGCTCGTCAGTCCGGCTCAAATCTCATCGATGGAGTGGCGCTGCCCGAGGACATTGCGAATGTTGCCGGCCTACTAGTCAGTGAGAGGGCTAACTGGGTCACAGGAAGCGTGGTCTGTGCTAACGGTGGCAAATTCAAAATCCTGTGATCAAGAATACCTGTTATCTATATCAAGACTGAGTTGCGGCCACTCTTGCAATTAAATACATTAGGATCATCGATAACCCACCAGCGATTCGCCCTTAAAGGCGGCTGTTACCCATGCGCCCAATTGCCTATATGTCTAATATACCTTGACTCCCCCTGCAGCCTGCCTTTGTTCTACCCATTTCCCTTGTGCTTTGTTCGTACAAGTCACCATGTCAATCGATGCCGAAAATGATGTCCTGCTGCTCACCTGTGCTAGCGGCAAACAGTGTTCACACGTTATTCCCCTCCTCTACGGAAAATTGAAGAGACTTCGTTTGGTTGTCCACAGACACGCTTCAGTGACGCTACTGAAGACGCGTGACCCGGACGCCGAAGTAGTCCAGGCAAATATGGCCCAAATTGAAGATATAAGCCGTATCATTGCCGGTGTCACTGCTGCCGTCTTTATTGCCCCCGCATTCCACCCCAAGGAGACGGGTATCGGCTACGCGTGATCGATGAAGCGCGTGCCGAAGCTCAGAATGGGTGCCTTAAGCACTTACTCTACTCCTCCGTGTTGCACACGCAGCGGCGAAAATTGATGAAGAATGAGTGTAAGCAATATATCGAGGACTACCTCATCGAATCCGGGCTCAACCACACAATAGTCTAGCCGAGCCATTTTCTGGACATGTTTCCGGTAAAAAACCTATTGCAGCAGCTGGAGCCTACCTTCCGTGCAACTTTCGATCCAGGTACCAAGTTCTCGTTTACCATTTTGCAGGACCTGGCGGAGGCTTTGCCAAGGTCATAGAGGAAAGAGAAAAACATTATTTGGCTGAGTACATGACATGCTCAACACACCCGACTTCTTATAGAGACGTTGTGACCACGCTCAACCAGGTGACTCGCGCTTCCATCAACATCGCGACACGGGAATTCTATGAAGCGGCGGAGTTTGTACAGAATCTGGTTGCCAAGTACTCGAACCAGTGCCATCGTCTCACAGGCCACGGTATTCAGTGATTACAGCTTTACTGCAATTCTTACGGTACGAAAGGCAACACCAACGTGCTAGACTGGTTGATAGGCCGAAAGCCTACGACGGTGGAAGAGTATCTCCGTCATCAGATTCCTTTTCCATTCGGCGCTACCGAGAAAGGCGACCTGAGCGAATGATGGGAAGTTCGTCAGGGAATTACTGACCAATTCTGCATTGCTACATCCTGTGCTCAATAATCTACCAAAGACTTACTCGAAATGAGTACTGTCAATCCCCACATGCGACGGGTTTTGGTTGATAGCTTTATTTTACAAGGTTGCATCATAATACACGGTTGACATAAAATGAATATGGCAAACTCCGGGCGGCTCACAAACATAAGCCGCTGAGTAGCAAGTCTTAGGGGAAAGTTTGCAAATTTAAGATATGGTTCGGAGACTTCCATGTCAATAATATTTGGCACTTGTATTCGTCAGTTCGAATGTGTCACTCTCTAAACCAATAGGAAATAAGATTCTGATCATGAATAGTAGAAGGCAACGTGTTAAGCAAATTTCATTCCACTCTTTGTTGGACTAACTCTACAACTCACAAATCAGTGCTTGTTCAAGACCATTTACTCACTATGGATAACGCACTGTTCTCAGAGCATAGACGCTGGCTTAATTATCTGACCGACTAAGAAAATCGGAGGCTTGTTGCTGAAGCGGGGAACATCTGCCATGATCTCTGCGACCGTGGCAGATTCGAAAGCCTTCTTCATTCCTTCCTCGTTCTCCCAAAAGACCTCACTTCAAAAGGCATAGATTGGGGGAGTACCGTCCATGCCTAGGACAAATTTGGTGACTGACTAGTTCTTGAGACCGTACTGCGACCAACGTTTCTCGATAAGGGGCATATGTTTTCTCGCATAATAATCAATATCATATTTGGCATCCGCATTATTTGGGAAGACAGCAGTGATCGTGTAGGCCATAGTGAGATGTCAATTGAGACCTTGGCGTGCGAAAAGGAGGGTTTTCAAAGCAGGAATAAGTTACAGAACTGGAGACGAAGATATGTCAATATGATGAATCACAGACAATTATCAAGGTTCCTTGTAACGTCGTTTAATTGGAGCTCGAAGGCTTAGCTCGGTCTCAGCTCTCTCTATCCCTATCCGTGTTTTGCATTTCCCCACCATCTGCATACTTGTAATCGGTGGGGTAGGTGGGGTAATGAGATCCCCATGGAACCTCACTATAGAGGCACAGTGCGCTCGCACCCTCACGCTAAAGTTTAAAATAATTCTATCCCAAAATTCATGGCGATAATATGATGGAAAATTGCGATTCTGAAGGTGGGGCCGTGGGCCGTGGGCCCAACCTGAGGAATCAATGGTATATAGAGATAGAGAGCATAAGAACCGGCGCATCGCCGCATTGTAGTGAGTCCTTACTGCAAAATCCAAGATCGCAATCGTGTCTCCAAAGGCAAAGATGTCAAAACCGAAATTCCTCTTTGTTCTTACCTCTCAGGGTATCCTTCCCACTCGCCAAACACCGACAGGATGGTATTTGCCCGAACTCGTTGATCCCTACAACAGAATTAGCCTCCTATTTGACATCGTTATTGCATCCCCTAATGGTGGCGAGGCGCCCCTCGATCCGTTCTCGATTGAGTCTACCCGCGAAGATCCAGAGTGCGTGGCGTTCCTCAAGAAGAACAGTAGTGTCTGGAAGCATACACTGAAGCTGGAGTCCCTGCTGGGCAATTCTTCGGGATTTGCGGGGATCTTCTACGTTGGTGGCCATGGCCGTAAGTATTTTTATTACCCCTGTATGCATTGCAAAATGAACAGCGTCTGTTCAGATCATCTGATGGCTGCTAGCTATGTTTGACCTTGCCAATGATGAAGTATCTCATGCCCTCATCCGGGAGTTCTACGAGGCTGGCAAAGTGGTTTCTGCTGTGTGCCATGGTCCTGCTGCTCTAGTTAACGTGAAAATGGCCGATGGAAGCTACCTGATTGCGGGACAAGAAGTCACCGGCCTATCTGATACGGAAGAGGACATCATGCAATTCACCAATGATATGCCGTTCCTTCTAGAGACTGAGCTCCGAAAGAATGGTGGAGTCTACGTCAAGGCCGATAGTCCCTTTGGAGTCAAGGTTGTAACTAGCGGTAAGGGCGGGAAGTTGGTTACGGGACAAAACCCCCCAAGCGCAGCTGTGATCGGCGACGCGTTGATCAAAGCAACCGGATTGTGAATTCCAAGAACTTCCCCGCCGATGAATCCTAGCCCAAGCAGAAAAACGGATTGTTTAGACATGATATCATATCACGTATTTTGCAGAAGCGCTGTGTGTTGAAATAGAAGAAAAACGGAAGTGTGGCATGGTGCGTTGAAGTTTCTGCGGATAGATAAATATCTAATAGTTTGGATAGTAATGAGCAGAACTCTGGCACTTGATTTATCAGCCGTTTGTCAACATTATCAATTGGCTTATGATTTTCCAAACCCCCATATTTATGGCAACTTAGTACTAGTTCGGTGTATATTCGGTGTAGATCTTCGTTCCCATCCCCTGTATGACCCAATCTGTGGATTCAGAGAGCGCGTAAGTGTTAGCATAGAATGTGTTTGGTTCCAGATGATGATCATACCGCTTGGCTTCCTGTTAGATCATCAAATGTTGTAGAGGAAGCCACTCTCTGAATGGTCTACTAGGAAAGATTTTCCACCCTCTCATACGACCCCGGTGATATTCGATCAGACGGCACTCCGTAAAAAGCTCCATCTTCGTTCAACGCAATCATGGCATAAAATGTCGATGTGGGCGACAGACCGGTAAAGAGGCACATTCGGTGTGTCTGACGAGCGAACTGCTGGCGGCACCCACAGGGCACCACTTCGCTGGGGATCGCTGTGCCAGAGGGTCAGCTGTTGTTCCCTGGATGATTAATGACCACTTACCTGCTTTATCGTGGAGAAGCGCCGTCTCAGCGTTTGCACAATTGTCATCATGAAGCATAACATGGTAGTCCGGGCCGCTTGGGCTGAGCGTGCGAAAGGATTCCGTCTCATTGTCTTCCCAACTGACCAGAATGCCCTCGGGGTATGGCTTCAACTTGATGCTGTGCGGCAGGTATCGTAGTCGCCGTCCAATTTGACGCATGAATCTCATTTCTGCTGGTCGAGCCGTGGGATGTGTCTTAAACATGGACGCAATCGATCGAACCAAGAGCTCTTCCACCACATGGCCGCAGAAGAACGGGGCGTTCGTGTCGGCGAGGTTGCTCGGAGACCAGGGCCGGCAGAACGACTGGTGGTGCGTACAAGCAAAGTCCAACCATCGGCGATGTAGTTTTAGCACACCCTGCCCCTTATCAAAGTATGCATCGACTTTGCCGGCCGAGCCTCGAACGTAGACTACCTGAATATGGTCGGTGAACTTCAGCAGAGCGAAGCAGGCTCGCAGCGCTCGGTCGACTGCTCTTGCGAATGTGGTGTCCGGGACGATGCAGGGCTTGGCATCCTTAAACAGCTCTTGCTGCTCCTCTTCGACGGTTCGGATGGGGCAGTGGGCACGTAGTATGTGCCACAGTGTGTCGGGCAGGCGTGCCGGGCGCTTCCTAAGGCTGTCCCGGATGGTGTTCGCGGTCTGTCGGCATCAGTGATCAAAATGCGAAACTGTCTATACCCGAGAACATACCTGATCATTGCTTCTCTCGCTGTAAAAGAATTCCTTATCTGCTGATTCGCGCAGCAGGTATTGCCAGATCTGACGCGCCGCCGATGGCTCTAAATGAGGGCCTATCATCTCGGCGTCGGCAGAACGGGCATGCTTTCGCAACAGATCGACAAGTAGAGGCAAGATGGTGTCTACCTGCTTGCGTAGAGCTTCCTCCCAGATCTGTTGTACTTGGCGAGCCGCATCCCGCCAGGATGCCAGTCTGCCACGGTCGCGGCAGGTGGATGAATAGGCAAAATTATACGCGAAGAGGAATGCGCCGCCCACGGTGGAATTAGCCAAGGTGATCCCGTTGTGATAGAGCTGAACTCGCAGCTGGGGATCAAGGATCAAGTCGCCATGTGGTGTGGAAATGATGCCGGAAGGGCAGGTGAGCCCGCGAATGTCCATCGTTGTCAAGCGGAGCCAATTCAAAAACGCGTCTGGCGCGACTGGTCGGCTTGACTTGGCCCGCGTCGCGCCGATCACCACTGCCACGTCTCTCCCCACATGGTAACGTAGGCTTGCCATATCTAGGGCGGGGTCGGTCCACTCGATCGACTTGATTTTCTGAGAGGGTGCGACCGTACAAGAGACCGAAGCGGTGTCTGCGTGCATGTCAAACCTCCAATTGCAACCACTCGCGGCGATACTCACGTTGTAACGATTTCGAGAGAGAACCAGGGCCGCCAGCTTGAGACCCTCGCCGTGACGTCCCACAAGATGGTCGTGGGCACCGTGGACATCTTTGGTTGAGAATCCCATAGCTAGAGCATTGATGGGTAGTTGCATGCATGCATTTGCGATCGTGATTCGACCGGTCTTTTTTTCGTACTGAATGAAACCCAGTGCGCGTCGATTCTCACGCTCCGCTGGCTGGTCGGCAAGGTTTTGATCGGGAACAACGATTGAGAGATGGTCACCGTGGTCTTCCAAGAATGGCTGGAAGCTCTGACGGTCAAGATTGAATCTTTCTATGATGGCGTCCTTCCTGCGTTGATTAGCGTTTGTCTGGCGAAAGAGGTCGGCACGTACCAATTTTGATACAATTCCCGAAAAGCATCTGCTGGCATCCAGTCTTTGACGTAGCTGGGGGAGATGCCGAGAGACACCACGCGTCGGGGCGCTCGGTATGTAGCGAGAGTGGGTTTCTGACTCTGGAGCAGCTCGCGTTCAAGCTGCTCGTTCGCCTGAGCCATCAGGCTATCATCCTCGCTCACGTCCGTGTCGTGACTGGTTGTCATTCTTGAATATCCCGTAGGTGAATCAGAGTGAGTTGGTTTTGGGAAGAGAATTGACTGGAGAAGGGTGACAGTATTTATATTCTGGCTTCCGTATTGAACCCGCGAAATCCATTACAAATGTTAAGCAACGGTCATCTTTGTATCCTACAATAACAGTCTTATGATGAGGAGCAAGTGCCTCACTTCCTTGAGTCTTGCCTGTCGAAATTAAGAAGCGAATGCTGTTATATTGTTGGTGCTGCAAAGTTGATCCTTAACGTTGACAATGGGACACCATTTTCGGGCGATGCGTTAAGCAACGGTGATGGCATTCGACCACTGCTTTCCTGTTGCCCGCTCAATACTGAGTCAACACGCTTGCATAAACATCTGCTCAGGATTTAATTTGACACCCCACTTACACTGGTGACTGAACCGAGCCTACAGAGCTGCAGTCACAAGCGATTTTGCTCGGGGAAAAGGAAATTACTCAATGCCTTCAGGCACGGCGACCAGCTAAGGGGTTTCTTGGCTTCTCTGCACTGCGTCACCTTTGCGCAACACAGTATACAAAGCGTCATGAACATATTGCAGTGATTTCCATGAAGCACCAATCACAGGATGGTGAGTTTGCTAATATTGTGTTGGGCTGACATGGCTATTGGAACACTAGAGAAAGTACATGGACTCCGTAGAAGAACAAAGATCTCCGGAATTTTTCATCATTTCAGGTGCAGACATATCAACGGCGACAATAAAGTGTGATATAAGCGTATCTTATCTGATAGATTAGTCCATCCCTAAAAGCTCCTTGGTGGGCCATGCAACCGCTTCTTATAGAACCCAACCTATATGGATTCTCCTGCACCTAGGCACTCTCTCTCACATGAAGACAATGGAACGACTAAGGAGGTGTTGCTATATTACAAAATAAACCAGAGTCAGAATAACCACCAGGGATCCGTAGACAGCCTCACCAATACCTCCGTAGTACATCATGCCGTAGTATGGGAAGTGGCTCGCACGAACGTCAAAGTCTTCTAACAAGGTCTGGTAGCCACGAATGGCATTCGCCACATAACCCCCTATGGCGAGGACTATCAAGCTCAGCATGAATTGAATATAAGCAAAGTAAACTGCGGCGGTGTTGTTATCTCGGCATTGAAGACTGCTGAAACCTCAACAAAGAGCACGGGGGGGATGGCACGTACAAGACCGGACGCAGAATATATATGTTGTTAAACTATATGATCAACCTGCACCAATGACCTTTGACAGAGCGGACAGCTATTATGACCGGCTGAAACCCATCCTTCGAGACACCGATCGTGGAATACGTGGCGACATGGAAGCGTGTGAATTAACTGCGACTTGGAGACCACGTCGAGGCAAATTGTACTATTTTATCGCGTCAATTGGTTTATATGGACCTCTTTGATATAAAATAAAATTTACCAATTGAATACGCGATCAAAGTCTCTTAAGCCGTCCCGCTCCGTTTGCGCGGATGCCCACCAGAGCATAAGCTGCTTTTTAGGCGCTGCATGCTCAAGTTCTTTCAATTTTTGAGCGTTACATTCGTCAGTGGGAAGTTGACAGATAGTGCATATTTCAGTATCCGGCACTTGAGTGCACAGGAAGTAAGCGTTGTAGAAAACTCTGTCGCGAAATTATCAATTAGTCCTGACGCACAATATTGAAGTGAGGCAAAGCCTACAAAATTAAAAGGGCAGCACATAATAAAATAATCCAGCATGAAGTCGGCAAAGATAGATTCACATCCTGACCAGAAGTGGATTTTGATTGGCTCATAATTAGATTCTCCTGGTGGACTTTCACGAAACGGCCGAATCATTTAGTGGCATCATCTACGGAGTGCAGACAGTGATATATATTGGGGGAGCTCATCCGGCCCCCCATACTACATATAATTATTTTGGCCGCAAGAAAATCGGTTACGGTCTACGATGACCCGTGGTAAAGGTGTTCTGGCCAAGTGTCGGACCACTGGTACCGCGCAGGATATTTAGGATCAGCCACATTCCGATTGGAAACATGACGACACCACGGAGTCTGTAGCGTGAATGTGGCCCGTCATGAATCCAAGGACCAGCAAACCACATGCTAGATGTAGCGATTGGTGGACTAATCAGACGGCAGAGAAATAGAGTCGGGCCTGGTTCCTCTCAAGGCATTACAGAATACGGAGAACAGGAAACCCTATGCGCCTACGTAATGGGCAAGTGTGTCGTACTATGAAGTGGTAAATACTATACCTTACAATGTCCAGATCCGGTCTTTGAAAACCGGATGACTCCAGCCGAGGTTGAACCAACCCTAATATTCATGGTTCCAGTGGTACACCATGTTTGGTAGACTTATCATAAGCCATGCATCCTAGCAACCCTGCAAGTTTTCCGTTCTAATTGACTACGATTCTCCCATCATTGTATCTTAACTTGACTCAAACTATTGAATTTGCACAGGACAGGAAATTCCATTTGTGCCTTGGTGTAGTATCTACCATATTCATGCAATTTAGATGTATAACCTTATGCGGAAAGCTCAGACATATATAGTTCTCGTCCCCGGATGCCAAGGTGGTGCTCAGGAGACCAGTGACTGGAACCTTGGGAGAACCTGTTCTGCTACGCACGTGCTCCCAAAATCGCCCGGCATACTTAAAAGTCTCGACTGGCTAGCAAATGCTTTCACTACCAACAAAATTTTAATCGAGGTTCACATCATGCCATTTTTGCCCTTCCTGAATATTCTCGGCCTGAGAAGGGAACTGGAAGGAACACATGCCGAAATTTTCACCTGGGGATGTGATGGGTACAATGACTCCATCAAACAATGGAGTGACTCGTGCGATAGACAAGTTGTGAGGGATTTTATTAAAATGACGCATCTTCAACCGATATGGATACTGATCTTTCCCAGGGCGCGATGGTCCGGGTCACATCGACTAATGAAGCAGCCACAGTTGTGCGCTTTGCTGCGTGCCATAAAATCCCTTTCACCGTAAAAGGAGGGGGGTACTCCACCACTGGCGCCTCAACAACTCAGGGCGGTATCGTCTTGGACCTTTCCAACCTACGAAGGGTCCACGTGGATCCGGTATCTCGGGTACTTACTGCTCAAGGTGGGGCTCTATGGGAAGATATCGATGTCGCTGCAGCCCAGTATAGGCTGGCAGTCGTCGGAAGTACATTGAACCGCATTGGGGTGGCAGGAGCAACACTAGGAGGAGGCTATGGATGGCTGACTGGCCAATATGGCTTAGCGATTGATAACTTGCTATGGGCGAGGATGATATTAGCCGATGGCAGCGTAATCACCGCGTCCGAAGAGCAGCATCAAGACCTATTTTGGGCCATTCGAGGTGCCGGACAGAGCTTCGGGGTGGCCATTGAGTTAGGCTTCCAAGCCCACGAACAGGATCGCCCTGTATTCGCTGGAACTCTTCTCTTCTCGGCGGACAACCTACCCGCGATTATTGAGTTTGCTAACCAATTTGAGACTCTTACAAACGGTAAGCAGGGATTTTGGTTCGGATTCGCCTCACCTCCCTCAATAGCCGGATGCGCCATCTTCGTGGCTGTCTTCTATAATGGGGCCCAGATGGCTGCACAGCAGTTCTTTTCTCCATTGTTCTCGTTGGGCCCGATGGATAACCGGACCCAAATGCTGCCATACGATAGTCTTAACGGCATACTGAACGTGTTGGATACCGTGACCCGCCGCAGAAACCTTACGGGGTTCGATATCACTCTTCCTGACGATGAAAGTGTGGGTCCTCGAAAAAGCCTGCGAGGATCAAATATTACTCTCCCACTGGAAGTTGATTTTGTCGTATCCCTTTACACCGAATTTGATGTCATCTTGAAGAAGTTTCCACGGAGCAGGGACAGCATATTACTTTTCGAACTCCTGCCAACTACACAGATCGCCAAAGTTCCTAACGATGCCACCGCCTTTGCCAGTCGTGGTCCTTATTATAATGTCAGTTCGCTATTTAGATGGCATGATGCCCATTTGGACGAGAGAATACACTCACTGCAACGAGACATGATGAACCACATTGGGACACGTGCAGGTATCGCAGCCCAGCCCAATTATAAGGTTTCCAAACATGGCACAGGAGTATATGCGAACTATGCCGGTATGTTCATAATAGTATTGGATGTTATCATTGATTTTTCAAAAAATGTAACTATTAACAAGATCGCAGGACATGACCTCCCCATGGAGGCAATATTTGGAGACAATCTTCCACGTCTCCGGGAGCTGAAAAAGAAGTATGATCCAAATAATATATTCAGCAAGTGGCACAACATCAACGCGCCTCTGGATACACTGGGATAGTATTTAAGCTGTATGGATAGGGTTAGGGAATACTAATTTGACAAGTGAACTCCGAACGACTTTGGTTGGGGTAGGCTCACGATCAGGACTTTGATCTGGGTTCAGGTTGTTTCAATAATGTTTCTTCGATACTGTAATGCACTTGGTTGTGAATAGTAATGAAGGCATGGCCACTTCCTGGACATTGACCGTTCGAGGGGGTTCGCCGCACACAGAATATCAATCCTCAGGCTTGTGAGCGCCTCACAAACATACGCTACCTGGGTCTTTCCTTGAGGTTCAATTGTCTCCTGGAGCAATTACCATCCGGAAAATGCCTAACCCAGGAACTGCTGGCTGTTTGGAATGCCGTGACTCTGGACATTATTGACGAACTGAAGGAGTGGTCAAATACCACTAAGACCCTTTTGGGATAGGCCTATTCATCGTCCGCCCAATTCCCCTTAGTACAGTATAAACGAGTGGGAGCGAGCACAAGCACAAGTACAGACCCGTAACTGAAGCAGTGCAATACGAAAGTTTCGTATGGTCGGATGAGACCGATTACGTTAAGGGCCATCGAATCATGCTGATTGTAAAATCACCTACAGTCTAGTAGCGGGTCTAGCGCGGCCTAGCCCTTGGAGGTGGTGGATCTGGGCGGCAAATTACGGGCTACTTGTGGTGCCCAAGAAGGTACTCCCAAAATAAGGCCGGATAAACGAGATGGGATTTGTGGAAAAGGCTGGGATAACCATGAACGAGCTTCAGAAGACCTTCGTGGCTGGAGGAGAATATGAGACCCAGACCCACGGCGCAAGGACCATACCAGAAGCCAAGATGTATGCGAAAGGCGTCTACCCGATTACTTCAGCGCAGCGGAGTTCCTATTTATCTTACATTCTTACCAATCCTAAGAGATCTGGTCCTGTCCAGGAAGACTTTCCGTCTCCGTGCGCGAGGAAGCTGGCTTGTCCAATCAGAAAACCCGAAGCTTTCTAGTCCAGCGTCTCGGTCTGCCTAAGGCCCGAGAGTATCCTGAGAGGTAGGCTTTGGTTTCTCTGAACACTATCTGCTATTATTATTCTAATAACCTGACAATGAACACAGTTTTGAGGAAATATTTGGCTACTATCGTTGGGTGCCATTGCAGCCTGAATTGATCGAATATCCTAATGCCCAGGTCCTTCTGATCGGCCGGTCGAATAGAGAAGCCTCCTCCATTGTGCCTAGAGGGCAGACAAGAGGACAGGATGAGAGCAGATCAACAATTGGAGAAAATGGCGCATCAGAATGATGAAAGAGAAAAACAATTTCGAGGTAATCATTCATTGGATTTTTAGGGCCCTTTGGTCGTGCGACTATGCAAGACTGGCTAACTAATTAATTAACCTCCATCCTCCAGGAGTTGATCCAGTTTATGGAGATATGGGGCTGCAGGTCTACCATTATCCAAAAATCTCTACGGCGTGGGCTGACCGATAGTGCTTGTTTTGCATTTTACTGGATAATGCTGCCATTTCTCCACATCCTCACAATAATTTGCTCATCCGACCGATCCACTTGCTTTGGGCTAAAGAATATGACCTTTGGTCGGATATCGCCAAAGCAATTCCTGAATCAGGGCATATTGCTTGAATTTGAATATAGCTAACGCACATCAAATGCATAATTCTTTTTTCACTTACTACAACATAATGGTTAACACTCAATATATCAATGCATCTTTTCGTCTCAGTTTCTCCTTTAGTGCGATTTTTAGGACCTTCAAACGCCAGAGATTTTGCATAATAAGCTCCGACTGCATTATCGACAAGGCAGTGGAGAGAGTAGTTTTTTTTCCCGGTCCACACCTCAAATCATCAAATCAAATATTTCAAGAAGTAGGCTTTTCCTGACCTTCTCAGGCTTCCGTGGCAGCCCCATCAACTCGGTTACCGCGATCTGGGCACCACGCACACTGTACTCCATAGTCAAAGTGGTGTCATCGATGATCTCCACAAACTGACCAACACATGCAATGTTGCTAGTGTGCTGCGGAATCACACTCGGTCGATTCCAGTGATGACGTGACAGAAATGGAGCAGTTCCCAACGGCATTCCACATGGAATGGTTTTTGAAGTTGCTACAATGGGCTCAATAGGAAACTTGAGGTAGGAGAGAACTTCGATAAGAATTTCCTCTCCGCAACACTCATACATGGGCTTCTTCACATGGTTGCCCTCGTTGATTGGGCTCAAGGCATATCCGCAAATAATATTTGTATTATGTGACTGACCAGAGAAGACGGGTTGATGAGGGATGCTGAGGGTAATTGACCAGTTGCTCTCCGATAAAGAGAGCATGGCACCTGTCCCTGGTCGGTCATGGGTAAGCTTTTCGTATAATAGCATAAATTCTGGTCCTTCAAATGTCGTAGTGAAAGTTTCGATAGTGGACCGTAGGTTTTGCGACAGAAAGTTAGTGGGATTCCCAAATTTCGGAGACATCTGAGCGAGTTTCTGCCATAGTCGCCAGTCACGAACCATCCGATCTTCCCAATTCAAGGACAGGTCAGGAGGCGAAGAGCTATTTGTCCCCAAACCTGCACCCGCAGTAGTTGATCCCAGGGTAGCGATAACAATATCAGTTGGATCCACTCTGATCCAGCACTTTGCTCCATCCTCAAGTAGCTCGATTCCAGTGACTGTGGTTGGGTCACTCTCAGGATAGACTCCTAGATTGGTCACCTCGGTATTGAAGCAGAAGTTGACACCTTCATGTTCCAGGTAAGTTGTGATCGGGATGATGATAGACTCGTACAGGTTATACTCTGTTCGGTTCGAGGTCTTGAGGTTATTGAGAGATTGAATGTCCTCCAAGTACTTGCGAAGATGCCTCTGAAACTCAACAGCACTGTGCCAAGGCTGCAGTGCGAAGCTAATCGTCACATATGTTAAACAGAGACAGACTTTCGTAATTTACCGAGGAGGGTACCTACGCTGTGGCCCACAACATCCAGAAGGTTGTCTCGAAGAAGGACTTATCCAACATATCCTCGATCGTCTTTGATCCGATTGTTGGTTCATTCTCCAACATCAATTTCATCAAACCCATCCTATTCTTCACCCCGATCTGGATACCCGTCGTATAAACCACTTCTGGCCCTAATAAACCCTGCTTAAGTGCTCGCGTAAGAGCAAAGTCCTGAGGGGGTGGCCGTTCAAATTTTTCAAAGGTCCGAATCGCATCCATCATAGATTTGTCCGGCTGGGTCTGGCTTGGGACAAGAGACAAGAGTCTTTCCATGCAGCTGCCATGAAAATGTGGATGACATTCGAACGGTAGGAAATACCCGTTCACTGCATCGCCAGAGGCGTTGATCCCTCCTCCGGAGCCTAGATGTAGATCCAAGATGTGGATGTTGGCTCCAGGAACCTTGGCATCATTAATCAAATAAACAGCTGCAGAAAGAGTAGCGATACCACTCCCGATCAGCCAGGCTTGAATATGACTCGGCTCACGATGGGGGCGCTCTAGCTTCGTGGTCATGTTCAAGTTAGGTGACTTTGATCGGGAGTTGTGTATTTCAAGTAGAGATGCTGAAATCATCGGAAATGATTTTTTCCATTTGCAGTTTCGGTTGTACTCCGTATCGTTATTCAATTGTCTAGAATTTGAGTTATAAGTACTTGCAAAATATCAATATTATACGTCATGACTACGTATTCTTCTTTTGCCGCAATTTTGATTGTACGTTCCTCTTTCCCTTTCCGCATTTTTAGTGTATGGCGTGATTTTAAGATCGAACCCATTTTAAGAGTTACAAAATAACCGTTTTTATTCACTAGCTACGGGATAGCAAGTGAAAGCTATCCCCAAGGAAACATCGGCCAAAAAGGGAAGCAGTGAGCAAAGAAGGGCCTGGTCTCTCACTAGATACAATTTTGGTTATCAGTTAACAAAACTCACTTTTGGTGCCTCTTCATACAAGTCAGAGACTCTAAGAGAGGTAATATTCCAGTCAACTCCGATTAACCCTCGGCAAGCAAATCAAAAACATCCAGGAGAAGACTTCTCTTTGTCCTCGGGGGCGACTTCGGTAGCCCCATCAACGCATAGACTGCCGTCTGCGCACCCCGTACACTGTACTCCATGTTGTAGGTTGTATCGCGAGGAATCTCCGTGAACTGCCCAACAAGCGCAATATTGGTGGTGTTGGGTGGTATCACCTCCGGTCGATTTTTATGAACCCTCGGCAAAAGTGCTGAAGTTGCTAGGGGCAACAAACAAGGGATGGTAATCGAGTTAGGAAGAAGACTCTCAACTGGAAAGTTGAGGTGGGAGAGCAACTCCGTCATGATCTCCTCTCCCGCACATTTCGTCATTGGTTTGTCAACAACATTCCCCATCTTCTCAGGTCGCAAACCCTATCCCCAGACGACATATGTGTGTGGCGGCTGATTCGAGCATACTGGCTGGTGAGGAACACAAATGCTGAGTAGCCAGTTACTATCAGGGAAAGAAAGAAGCGCACTGGAACCGGGCATATCATTGGTTAACACTTGATACAAAAGCATAAACTCTGAGTCATGCAAAGTCACGGTGAATGTAACTAGGGTGGACTCCGGGGTGTGAGAATTAAAATTTAATGGAACCCCGAACTTGGTAGCCTTCTGCGCGAGATGAAACCATAGCGACCAGTCGCCGTAGGTAAAATCGTCTGGATCAGAAGGGTAAGGCGGCGGGTCCGAGTTCGTTCCCAGCTGGTAGCCTGAGTTTGGCGAGCCAATGGTGACAATCGTAAGATCGTTGGGATCGACATTAACTATTCGTTCTTCCTCATGCTCTCGCAGAACGATCTCAGTGACAGTGGTTGGGTCCCCTTTTAAGTTATCATCCAAGGTCATTCGCATATCAACAACCTTCGCATTGAAGTGGAAATTAACACCTTCCGATCTGAGGTAGGTTGAAATCGGCAAAATAATAGATTCATATAGAGAATACCGAGTGCGATCGAGTGTGCTGACGTTATTAAGGGAATGAATGTCAGGGAGATGCTTGCGAAGACATCGTTGAAACTCAATGGCACTATGCCAAGGTCGCAGAGCAAATCTAGTATTGAACGTTAGCTGGTACAGGAAACTCACTCAGGGTAATATAGCAAACTCACGTAGTGGACCATAAGGCCCAAAAGTCAGTCCCGAAAAATTCATCTCCAAAGAAGTCCTGGATGCGATATCTTCCTAGGAGACTTTCACCTTCCAACAACACTTTCATAAGTTGCAATCGATTATATGGTCCAATAGAAAGATGGTTGGCTTCGGACCGTTCGCACTTTCCTCCTTTGTTTCTCAGAAACCGTGTCTTGGCAATACTTCCAGGCGGAGGAGTCTCGCTCAACTGAAAATCTCTGATAGTGTCCAAGAGGGATTTGTCTGATCCACTAGCGCTCGGAACAAGAGATAGCAGATTATCCACGCATTCGTCGTGGAAGTATGGCAGGCTTCCTGGGTAGAGGATATAGCCGTTCTCTGCATTTCCGGCGCTAGTTATTCCCCCTCCTGTTTCCGCATGCCGATCAAGGATATGAATGTTGCGTCCTGGCAGTCGTGCATCTCTGATCAGATGCACGGCAGCAGCAAGTGATGCAATTCCACTGCCAACCAGCCACGCTTGAGTACTTTCAGGGTCGCGAACGGATGAGACTGTGTCATGCATTGTTGGAGTTTGCTTCAATTTCTTCTTTTTTGGCAGATAATAGAAGATACTCTTCATCTCACCTACAGCTTCAGGTTCATTTTATTATACTGAGACCGCTTCGATTACCTCATGATGGCTACCATGGTGGACATGATTATGGTCACGCAAAATTTCGAGTGGGCAAGTCTAGAAAACCGCCAAATTGCCACAGTAACATGATTATGGTCATGCAAAAGTTGAGTTCTACACCTATAAGAAAATATGGTGACGTCATCAGTAGTAAGGTTAACTACACTATCCAGTGGATAAAGACTCCCAAAAGGGCCAGATCCAAATTCTGGCCGCAGCCTTTTATGTACTCCGTATGTAATCCAAGTTCACATCGATCTAACTGATTGTCTGGGGGAGGGGGCGGGCTAGATAGCTGGACCCGGTCTAGAAGATTCTAGCCCCCTCTCTGGCTGTGGTTTACTTCAAGCCTAATATTAAGTACGGAGTACGGAGTTACGGAGTACTGAAAAGAATGTGCCCACTGGAGTCCGGCTATAAATAAAGTTAATATTACTTACTAGCTTTAGAATCACTTTCTGTGCTAATACATGGATCTAACTAGGATTCCTCTCTACCCTACTTCAAGGTAATAATAGCATCAAGCAAAATGAGGATGAAGTGCTCCTTGATGACTGAGAATGACAGAGCCACACATTCCAACTACCAGGAATATGTTGACTAGGAAAATGGATACCGATCACTTTATGTTATACCAGAAATGCGAGGAAAAACTTGACAAACTCCGCTAGAAAGGAGACTGCGATCTACGCGTCATTGTTGGCCATTATAACGTGTTACGGAGTCTAATAACAAAATTGGCTCTTAAATGCGGTCAAGAATCTCTCATCGACATAACAGGCTCCTCGCATCGCCTAGATGATCGGGAATAGGAAGATCTTGAGTTAAGCTTCCCCATTTAGATTCAGCGGACGAGTCGGATTTTACTACTTCGGAGCCCATCCGTCGAAACCCCCACTGGGCTAGACTAAAAATGCACCATGGGCAACATTTCTAGTTGTTACCATCATTTATTGCTTCGACCCCCCCCCCTCAGGATCTAGCGATTAGAGATGGATCCTGGATAATGCGCCTCGGTAGTGGTAGGAATTGACTGAAGGATAGCATGATAGCACTCCACTCTCCGGATGACTCATCTCCCCTGATGGATTGCCACACTTAACGTTACCTCAGTTCCCTCAGCCGCCCCCCAAAAGGCGGTGAATTTTGCAATCCACCGCCTGCTGTTTCCAGCAATGCTGACACATCTTTTTGGGGAGTCATAGAACAGCAAGCAATCCGATTAGGTTTAGCGTGCCAAAAATCCGGCAGAATTTTTGGATCATGTGATAAGGTCTGAGGGTACTGAGGTAATGCCACACTGCGGAGCGGGAATTGGTAAGGACACCTCAACTTTTTAGTAACTAGCTTTGATGGTGGATCCAGTCGGCTTATGTAATGGTCGTTCAGTGGGCTGGCAACCACTTTCAAGCTGTCGGCAGGCCTGATAGCACTTCCGCATAGCAGCATATATTAGAGCAAGCTACATCGGGTAAATGAATTCATCATCATCATCATCTATGATGATATTGGGACACAGAGCTGCACCTCATGGAGAGTTTCTGTGAAAGCCACTAAGCCAATAATGCCGTTTGAGCCCCTCGTTCGCGGTAGAACTCGGTCCAAAAGAGCGCAGCGCAGCGACGGTATCCTCTCTTGAAATTCTCTGGTCCAGGGATCCTCTACATAAAGGCGAAAGTCAGCTGCGCCTAAACCGAACAAGCCCCATTTGCAATCAGCATTTGAATGATCGGTCGTGGAGATACATCTGTTCTCGCCCAGCGATGAGCACCAGAGGTGCCGGAATCATGTCATTTGAGAGGCTAGCAGTCATTACTTGTTGGCTAGTGAGGCAATGCCAGGTCACTATCACAATCTTCATGCTATCTTGCGCAACTGAAATTGGACTCGTTCGCCTGTACGATGATCATCTATGTGTTCTGGGATATTCCAATTACCGACGAAACTGCACATGTTATTTCTGAGAATAAAAAAACATGAACATATTGGCTTTCTGCCCAAAATACAGAACTATCAAAACTCAGAAGTTTGACCGGCTGAACCCCACAGACTTGCCTGGTCCCGATTTGTGGCTGCCCTCCAAAAAGTAATCAATTCCCACCAGATACTCCACACTTCTTTCCAGAGCCGTCACAGTCTCCTGCTCATTGAAAAGGGAGCCTTGAGACGCAGTACCCAAGGGGTTTGCTTGCAGCCATTCAAACACAGGTGCAAAGGGATGGTCGAAGTCTGCCTGATCAATGTCAGATCGCAGGATCTCCATCCACTCCGAGTGGTCGAACTTCTTAATCTTGATGTTCAGTTTGTCTTCAAGGATATTGCAGAGTGTCAGAACATTAATCCCGTCGAAACATTTGAGCGTGTGCTTATCATATCGGTCTGGCTGTAAGAGAACATCTGTGACGAGGTTGGACACTTGGTCCACGCCAGCAACGTTAAGATGACCGAGAAGGTCCTTGCTCACAGCTTGAAGACGAGCAATGCTGAAAGCAAATCTCCACAAGAAATCTTCCTGATGGGCAATCCCCTCTTGGCGTGTTCCGACGATGAAGCCTGGGATGATTGTTCGCGCCTTCGGGATGTTCCCTTTCTGCTTGTCCAAATGCTTGTTGTACTCTTCAAGGAGTAGCTCGGACATGAACTTTGTTTGATCATAGCCCGGCGCGCTCGAGAGCTTTTTGGCCACCTCAGAGAGCGATTCTTGCTCAGTTGGCATGTAGCCGCCAGAAATGTAGATCAGTGGGCAAGGGAACGTCATCTCTGAGAGTCCTGACAAGATTTCAAGTGTGCTGTGAACATTCACTGGCTCCAGCTCTTCGTAGCTTTCTATCCAATTGACTCTAGCTCCATTATGAACGATTCCATCGACAGGACTGTGGCCGTGTCTTCCCCAGAGTCGGTTCATGTGGGAGGTGTTCAAGCCAAGTTGCGGTTTACCCAGGTCCCCCAACCACACTTCGATGCGATTGAAAAACGATGGCTCCCACCATTGTCCGAGCTTTGCTTGATGCTCTACCTTTCCTCGTGCCTCCTCTTCAGTTTTTGCTCGCACTAGACCAATGATATGCTCAATTTCTGGATTGCGTAGAAGAGATCGCAGAATTTGACTGCCCAAGAATCCAGTTATCGATGTAAGGAAAACCGTCTTTCTCCGTGAATAAGCAAAAGGAAGTTTCGGCTTGAGCTTGGTGAGATCATCAATCAAATTTCGTGCTTCAATTCCATCGGCAGTCTCCTTTTTCCCCTTCAAAACAAGGTCTTCAACATCACAAACAGTCAATGCATGGCATCGCAAGCTTCCAATTGTGATTTTCTTGTTGTATCGCTTCCTCAACAAAGTTGCCAGAGAGACCAGTTGCATTGATGACAGGCCAACGGTCTCCAGGGGAAAATCCTTCCCACGAAATGAGTCTGCGTAGATTTTGTCCCTGCTTGTAAGTAGGTCGGCAACCATGCAACTGATCTCAATTGCCCTCGGCTTTGTAGAGGGTATTGTAGAGTATTCTGTTGCAACAGATCCTCCCTTGCGGAACCGTTCAAGGCTTTTCTGGCTCATCTGTGATAGATCTCTTCGCAGTCGCGGTCGATCGATTTTTTTCGATGTTGTCATCGGCAATTTTTCCACTGGGATGAACATGGTGGGGATCATGTATGACGGCAGGACCTTAGACAGCCGAGTATGGAGTACATCTGCGAGTTGAGTTTCGATTTTCTCTGTCGTTTCGACGAAAGCAGCCATTTCCACGTTGCTTCCTCCATCCTTGGAGAGGACTATGGCCGAGCGATATACGCTGGCAGTTGAGTTGATTGCATGCTCGACCTCGCCCAGGTCAACCCGTAGACCTCGTATTTTGATGAACCCGCCCTGCCGACCCAGAAAAACAATATCTCCATCGGCAGTGAACTTCGCTAGGTCCCCCGTTCTATAAATTCGAGACCCTTCTGAAATGGGAACCAGTGATCCCCACTTCAAGGAGGACGGATGAAGAAAAACGCCGGCCGAAAGTTCTGGGTCCTTCAAATAGCCGTGGGCCAGATACGGGCTCTGAACGAGGAGCTCTCCTTCTGCTCCAACTGGTCGCAGTCTCTGAGCGTTGGAAGGATCCGCTATCCAGCAGGAGACTTTGCCGATACCTCTTCCAATGTTTCTAGGATTGTCGCCTGGCTCCATAGCAAGCTTTGCAGTGTCCCAGACTCCAGCCTCAGTGGTGCCGTAAAGATTGTTAAGCTTGACTCGGTTACCCCAGGTCGTTATCACATCTTCAGAAGGGGCTTCTCCTCCAACGGAAAGTCTTGCCAGGTCGGGTAGATTTTCCGGTTGTAGTTGTTTCACGAGTCCAGCTGTCAACCAGGCATCTGTCACTCTGAGCATTCGCATTGTCGACTCCAGATCGCTACTTCTTTCTTCTTCAGAAGGTACGCACACACATCCACCAGCAACCAGTGGCGACCACAACTCAAGGATACTAGCGTCGAATGCCAGGGACGAAAACTGCATGAATCGAGTCGAACTGTTAATTTCAAACGCCTCGATGCATTCAACCAAGCTGAGAGATACAGCTTTGTGGTGCTGAATAACTCCCTTTGGAGTACCGGTGCTGCCAGATGTGAATATAATATACGCCGGATCGTGGATTTCCTTGTATTTCTCTTTGCTCCAGTCATGCGGGATGTGCAAATCTTCATTTTCAGACAAGACGATGCTTTCTGCCATGATGTCTCCCAACTTTTTGCGCAGTGTGTCACTGATCACCAGGTGTCGAATATCAGCTCTTGCGAGAATTTGCGTAATGCGACCAGGTGGATAGGATGGGTCCATAGGAACGTATGCGGCCCCAGCGCGGAGGATTCCGAGTAGGATAGTAATTGTCCAAATGGATTTTTCCAGGCAAATCCCAACCGTTTCGCCAGGCCTGACACCTCTGTTCACGAGTATCTGTGCAACGGCAGCCGATTTCTGGCCCAGCTCAAGATATGACATATCTCTCGTCGACGATGAGAGCGCAGTCTTTTGGGGATGCTCCATGTAATGTGTGTTGATGAGAACATGGAGGCACTCCGGGATTTCCGCATTTTTGACATCTTTCTTGGAATTGAAAGAGCACATACTCTCAATGTCGAGATCAGTGGCGCAAAAGATCTCGTCGGCTTTGATATTTGGCTGAGAAGACACTTGCTCAAAGATTTGGGTGAAGCTCTTTAGCACTCTGCAGGGGCTGAACGCTGGTTGTTTCAAGGCATCGTTCCAAATACTGGCAATAGATGCCCCTCCAGATGTTGAAATAGTCAACAGCAATTCCACCTTCAAACGTTCGAAGATCTTGGCTATCTCCTGATGAGACCCATTGGCTTCGATTTCATCATCCCGTAGCATCAAAACACAGGTCTTGTGATTCAATTTGACTGAACCATCATCCTGTTGTTTCCCAACCTCCTGGGATACGAGATGCTGAGTGCTAGACACTGAGGCTTCCGGTTCGATGGCGATCGAGAGCACCTGGGCTCGCAGGTCCTTCGAGACGTGCACCCAATCTGGATTTGAACTGGTAGTCGGTCTGAGGTAAATGAACCCGGGTATCTCTTGCGCGTAATAATCACGAAGTAGCAGTAACCAAGTAGTAAGAAGTTTGAAGTCCCATTTATCCGAGTCTGGCGGAATATCAAGAACTGCGCTTGCATATGAGGAAATGATACGCGAACGCTTTGTATCATCGATTGCCATGGTGGATAGCTTTTGTGAGGGGTCAATTGGAGAACTGGTAAGCTCATAGTAAGTAATTGCCAGTGGAGGCTTTTTTTCAAGCCTTTATACCCCTTCGAAACCTCGCTGTACTGATCTGGATGGCAGAATTCATCGGCTTCTATGGTGATTTCAATCCTCCTCTTACATTTCCACTGTGGTATCGCAACGGCGATCTCGTGATATCCTTCTACCAAGGAGTCTTATCCCTAGATATGCAGGTCGCTTTATTCGGTCAACTTGGAGTCTCTAGGGGGAGGTTAGTGGCAATTCAAGTTCAGTCCTGGGAAGCTTTTGTTAGACAGTGATCACTGCGGGAAAGGAAGAATTTACCACGCAATCGTGTGGTGTCATTTATAGATGATGCGGTGTAACACAAAGAGCATTCTTGAGTGGTTATTTATTCCTAGATTTACTCTACTGGTTACTCTCGTTCTATTCAATCAAGAACGCTTGATATGTCTGGAATGATAGGCAGTCATTGGTGGGGGGAATTAAAGCCAAGAAATCAAGGTAACACGAATGAACTATGGACCTTTTGGTGGTTTTAACCTGCAGTCCCTTGCACATTCTTTAGCCTGGCTCGTGAAGTACCTAGGATTTTGGTCAACTTCCTGCCGGCCGTACCAATCAGTCTCTCTTTTTATCATGCAGCTTTACCGTCGATAATAATATCATGCTCTTGTCCCGATTTAGTAAAGTTTGTGTAAGGAGAACCTGGAGATTTTCCAGAAATGCACGACGATCCATCAGGAATGAAAATATTTTCTTGGTCGATCACGTTGATTGATTATCACGCACTTATAAATCAGGGAAGAGAGCATTGCCAGAAAATAACCTACACGCCAGTTTGCAATCAATACTTCCCAACAGCTTTTATTCCTTAAGATCAAGCTTCTCCGGAGTTGATCGACATGATGACGAAGAGAAAATCCTTGTTGGATCATTCTTCCGACACTTCAATTCCTTTGAATGGTATTCCAAGGGAGCTGATGGAAGCAATGATTTGTGAGGACATCGACTCGGACTTACCCCCGAGTCAGAATTTTGGGACATTCTCTACCACTAAATTTGATCCAGCGATATCCAGACTTACCCTTCAAAGCGCTCTTCGGAATCAAGCCTGCGTAGAGGAGTACCCTTCTATAGCAAGGTGCGTTATATTTGTTGACATATATCGTTTGAATTAAAACAATCTCTCATGAAGGTCTTATGTTAGGTTCCAGGAGCGTTGTATCTCTATTCTGGCCAATATGTGGAACGCACCTTCTGTCCACTCCGTCTTTGGGACTGCCACAACGGGATCGAGCGAAGCGGTACTTCTTGCTGGCCTAGCCTTAAAGCACTGCTGGCAGTTCAAACACCATAATTTGCCCCAGGCTCGTATGAACGTCATCATTGGGGGCAATGCTCATATTTGCGTCAAGAAATTTGCCGACTATTTTGATGTCGAAGCTAGGGTTGTTCCTGTCAATGAACAGACTAGGTTCGCTTTTGACGCCGATGGACTTAAGGAGAGACTTGACGAGAATACAAGTATGTTCATATACCAGAAACCGCCTAAAGTCGAAGGCTCATGAACTTAGTTGGCGTGTTCCTTACACTTGGAAGTACCTACACTGGTCACTACGATCCTATCGAAGGGATCTCCACGATTCTCGATGAATTTGAGCTTCAAACCGGCCACAACATCCCGATCCATGTCGATGCTGCAAGTGGAGGCTTTATAGCTCCCTTTGCAGCTACTAACCGGAGCTTTGTATGGGACTTTCGTCTAGGCCGAGTAGCCTCCATCAATACCTCGGGACATAAATTTGGCCTAACTCCACTGGGTGTCGGGTGGCTGGTTTGGAGAGACAAGTCTAACGTCCCAGAGAATTTGCTGCTTGAATCGTCCTATCTACGGGGCACGCAGATTGCCTTTACACTGAGTTTTTCGAGGTCAGCTATACCCATCACTGCTCAGTACTTCAACTTCTACAGTAAGGGAATGGATGGATACCGAGCGCATGTGAACGACTCTTTGAAGAAAGCACAGGCCCTAAGTGAACAGCTGGAAGCTACTGGCTATTTTTCTTGTTTGAGCGATATACATCGCCAGATTCATCGGCACAACACCATGTGCAAGTTACATTCCACGGACTCCGAGTCTTTGAACATGCCTGGGCTTCCGATCGTCGTCTTCCGGTTACCTAGTGATGTCAAAAGAAAACATCCTGGGTTGACGCTCTCCGATGTCAGTGATGTATTGCATACTATGAAAATTTCCATCCCAAGTAAGTCCCCTTTCTCAAATTCAGGATCGGATACTAAGGTCCTGTCCAGGTTTTATATTATTCGGTTGGGGGGTTAATGGGGAAAATATTGAAGTCATGAGAATTGTTGTGCGCGAGGACTTAACGGCCGACGTGATGGCGAAAATACTCCAGCGCCTCATTGATGCCGTGAAAGCCTTGACAGGTAAAAGATTGGAATACCTCCAGGACATCTGAAAATTCGTCGGTTCATGTTTGATGACGATGGGGTAGTATCAGTTCTGCCAAAATTGCACGAGTGAGACTAGGGAGAAAAACACTTAGACGAATATCTGTTAGCACTTGGGCCTATCCCGGATCCAACGGGTCCAGTTGGATTTAGGGTTATTTCACCATGGCCACACATGGTCCCCCACGGCACCCGATGGATCCATTTTCCATTGCTAGTTGGATTCACATTTACGGCCCGGACGGGGGTGAATCTTTATGTGTTCTGTTTAGCTATTAATTTATCATAGTCCTGAATTTCAGACTTAGCAAGCGAGTATAAACCCGATCTTGGCACGATCGAATGTTCCCAGTTTTTTGATGGGGTGCGACTGGGCACGGGCGCTACGGTTTTTGGACCAACCATTCGCCAGTTAACAGTTGATGCATCGCGATGTAGTTAGCTATGTGGCTGTCGAAGTGAGGATTTCAGGGTAAAGTTCAGACACTTAGGAATCACCGACTGAAGCTTAAAGCCGTTTGCAAACCATTTAACCGATTTGGGGTTACCGTCAGAGTCAGTATTCCGTCAGAGATCCTACAGTCCCCCTCAGGAAGTATTTGACTAGCTCCACTTTTTTACATAAGATTCTGCCAAAAGATAATATTTTTTAAAATCTTTTCGTTGGTCAGATAGAGGCAAACTAGTTATAACATAGTAGGCGGTAAGTAGGGGTGGTCAAATACTTCCTGAGGGGGACTGTACTTGACCAGTGCGGAGTACACAGTGACTCGCTTTCTTAGCCCCGCTGCCAAGACCTTAACGCAGATCATCAATTGGGCTGATCGCACTAAGTTGAGGACCCCTACATAATTAAATTCTGTATGGTATTGTATCTTTCCCTCTGGAAGGAATATATCTGTCTCTTTGAACGTGGGGTACGTGTTGGTGGTCACTGTATTTGCGTAGGGCAATTACGGCAACCCGCAACTTTTTGCGGGCCTAATGAATGATCTATGTGAGGCCTTGGCAGTGGGGCCGAGGAAGAGACTCTCATGGGTGCGCCACGCTTCCATTAGAACCACGCGTTCATCAGAGATTTTCGAATAAATCATGCGATTAATCAACCAAAACTAGCTAAAAAACACTATTAATCCACCCAAAAGAGTTCTCCTCTCTCCAAAGCTTCGTTCCTATTAGCGATTCCTCTCTGAATGCTCTCATTCGACCGTTACGAAGGTTTAAAGCCGTACACCCTTTCCGCTTCCCGATCAATCCTTCGCTTGTCAGCAGCATTTTCCTTCTCTTTTCTCTGCTGAATTAATCGATTCGCATCGCGAGGGCGTAGTATACCATCCTAGCGTAGCGGTTTAACCTGCCGCCTAGTATAAACACGGCGTTGGGGATCCTGCGCAGCTCTAATTCGCCGAACGGAATCCTGGGTCATCGCAAGCTCCTCAGGCTTCTCTCGCGTGTGTTGGAAGAATCTAGCAAGATTTCGCTCTGCTTTATCTAAGGAAGTAGCAATATCCCTTAAGATCTTTGCTTCATTCCTCACAAGCGCTTCAATCGTGTCAGGCGGGCTGTTTTCGATGCTAGAAGATAGCTAGTCTTGTGCTAGAGATAGCGTGCGATCGGCCGATCGAAGATCTGGTGAATATAGATCACTAAGATCCTCGAGTAAACGATTCGTTAAACGATTAACGATATATATTCCATTAACCGGCCAAATACCCCGTTCTTTAAACGAATCGCGAATAATTCGTGGATAAAACGTTCGTGCGCGAATCGGTTAGATAATCCGTAGAAAATCAGCCTTCCCGTAGGGTTTACCACCCCAAAACGATAGCTCATTATTCATAAGCCGAAACTGCTGTTTATAATTCAAAAAGGGGGTCCCATCGAGCGGTTAACAGAGATATGTTAAATGCGGTAGAAACGCGAATAGTATAATCGCATTATCCTCGCATTTCTGTAGAAATTCGAGGGTAAGATACGCGCCGTGCCCGCCGAAGATAAGATAGCGTTTTTCGCCAGATTTTAATCGATCGCCAGCAGTAGCAGTAATAAAACAGCCTAGCTAAGCTAGTGCTAATTCATCAGAAATCTAGCCATTCGGAGATATCGCAGTGCCCGTATTAGGTAGTAGAGATTCGCTACCATAATACCAGGATTCCATAAAATTAGACCCGCTACATTTAAAGATAAAGAGCGGATCCATTAACCAGCCATCAGCAGCAATACATTCAACCGCAGTAATAGTTTCGCCTCGCTCTATTTCGGCTAGATCAGGGCAAGATTTACGAGAGCTAATTACGTTCCTCGATCGCCCTTAACCAGGTTAAAAGCCGCATTCATCGAAGTTGTATACAAGACGCGAGGGTACGTCATAGAGTAGCTAAGCAAGCTAGTCGTACCAATGCTAAAGCATGCCAGCATCTTCAGCTTAGATTCGCTTTAATTCCTTACTCTTCTGCTTCACAGGAGCAAGCTTCAAGTGATCTAGAAGACGTTCTATAAAGCAATACGCCCACATCTTGCTAACCTGCTTATCCAGCTAGCCCGATCGGGCGAGTGCGCGATTCGCCCATGCCTAGATAACAGCTGGAGTAGGAGGAAGGTTCCAACCTTGCATTTTAGTGATCCATTTGACCAAGGCTTTCTCCTGATATAGGCGAAGGGTATTTCTATTCGATTCTTTTAGAATCACAGGCGATTTAGCCTTTTTAACGCGTGCAGCAAGGGTAGAATAAGCCACGTTGAATTCACGCGCAGTTTTCGCGATATTCGGTTTTTTTTGGCTCATAACCGCTGCAAAGGCCTTGGCCATGCGAATCTCATCGAAATCGGCAGATTGAGGCATGTTGTGGTGGGTGAATAGTTGATTGAATGGTGTATTCGAAAATCTCTGATGAACGCGTGGTTCTAATGGAAGCGTGGCGCACCCATGAGCGTCAGCGAGTGGGTGGGTCGCAGCGTAGCGGAGGGCACGGATACTCCGTCCTCCGTCCTAGTCAAGCCAATTTCCTTTATTTCCTTTCTTTTCCACATAGCTCTTTTCAATCATCTGGAGCGACAGCATGATATGGCAACTATTTGCTATTTATGATTTGTAATGTCCGTACGTTACCATAGATTATACGGTTGTATGAAAACTAAAAAGTCCAAGTTTGGCATCATAACAAGAAAGATATCCATTGGTATTAAAACTAAATAAGTATTAAAACTAGAGTAATGATACCCAAGTGGCATTTAAACCAGAGAGAAGTGGCTTAAAACTCGTTTGATGGCTGTCACGCAATCTGAGGGATTCGCGAGCCAGCTCAAAGTGAGGGCATTGGTCTGCTTTCCGCTAGTCCGCTGTGTTCATTATCTGCTGAAGAGGCGGGTCACTGCAGCAGTGATGTGATACACTGCCAACCGCAGTAGCCTTCTATTCGGTGGTCCTTTCGAAGACAAACCGAAATGCGGACGAAGACAATAGCTGGCGGTGCCAAAGGGAAAAGTAACCAGGCAGTGCATAACCCTTGCTAAGGAGAATTGATAGCTCTTATCTGGAACATCAATTTCCTCGCGGCGGGGTCGGCACGTTCAACCCATCGATCTGCCTTCGCAGCACTCGAATTCCCTCTTGTAGCTTTTCATTCTGGGTCTGAAGCTTGCTCTAATTGCGTCTCACGTCCCTCAAAGCAGTTCTAGTGGCTTGAATCGACGCGGTTTCCTCGTCCATGGTGTGTTGCAGGTACAATCCCCCTGCTGTAATTGGCTAGTGCCTGGTATTGAACAATTCTTTACCTTGTCCTTGGTATAATATAGTGCGCTAGCAGCGACAGACGAGCGGTCTTTCGACACACCTTTTGATGAAGGGGAACAAGCGGTAAACCAGCGCCCTGCCTTGACCCTCACACCTACCGTACTTCTTTTATGGTTCACGGTAGTACAAAGCGGGTGCTTGCCTCCCTCAACATTTTTCTACGTTCAGTAGATCTGTTATGCATGATCGGCAAATCGATGGGTTATCCGCTGAATCTTGATCCTTAATTTATCGATTAATATTCATCGCCGAAGTTGAAGCTCTCGTGCCATCAACGTACTTGACTGTCCCAGAATTGTATCGATATAGCCGTAAAATGCGTTCGGAATAAGATTAAAATCCCCGCTAATTTTTCCGCAATGGGTCTGAAAATGTGGTGAAAAGCCTTAACCTCATATTTCTGTGTTGTTTGTTGGCCTGTTTATTTGACCAGAAGAAACGCTGCGGTTTAAAAAGTTTGTAGAATTTTTTTTCCTTTCCTTCTCCTCAGATTTTATACCTTCGTTGAATGGTACTGCGTCATTTGATCCCTTTGCTCTTGATCGTAATAACGGGTAGGGATACTATAACATCTGGTTGTTGGCTGGCGCGGGATCTACTTGTTCGGGTGTGGCGGTTCTTCCCTTTAATTAAATCCCTGCATTCTAACTCACAAATATCTCGATCGGCGGACTTTCATGCACTAGAATTACCATTTAGCTGCAGATGAGAGACATACAGTGGTGCTTAGACGGTCAGGTTTTCCATACAGGGCTTCTGAAAGGGGAGAATGGATTTCTCAACCGGTCTCGCCTGATTGGTTGGTTCGGCACTTGCCGATGTAGTTGGTGGCTTTGTCGTGCTGTATGGGCTGAGCTGTCTGGCTCCACCTGGCCGCAGTGGAAGATGCATGCTTCCGGAAATAAGAACCAGACCTCATATCTGGTGTAGTACTTGAGGGTCGGCTGTGCAGTAACTCCCTCAGGAGTGATAGAGCTACGAATGCCTCTCTATCTCATTATCGCCAGGCGGAAGATGATCACCAAGTCCCTGTATGCGAAGGTATGCGTACTCGGACACAATTGGTCCATTGCCAAATATCAAGGATCACCACGTACACCGTCCCTCCAGGGAAACCATTAGGGACAACGAATGATAAAGTAGGAGACTTTAATTGTTTACCCTAAGTGTCACAACAGTACTTGACCGCCAGAAAACGCAAGGAAAGAAAGCAGATGGGCCGAACATATGGACAAGCATTTTGGCTTATTTGGGAATGGGATACTTCATGGATCTCTAATCGTATAGGCCTAGCGCATAATTTGGAGTGGTCAATTAAAATCATGTACATTGAGCTGTTTCCAAATGATAGCTTGACCGATGAGACGACCTCAAAGCGCATTCTCGCCTATTTAAACTTCACAATCCCCCTATCCCAGATTTCCCAACTACATCCTCTTCTCTTAACCTTACAGTACAATAAATCTGCATTAGGACCTGTTAACATCACAAATATGTCTCCTTCGGCTGACGGACATGCTAGCCTGACCACACAACCTGTCGGAAATATGAATCTCCAGCAGAATGGAAAAGCCCTAAAAGCAATCCAATGGGGAAATGGCTCTCTTCTTTCCCGTGGAGATGGTCTACCGACGTCCCAGTGGGCACAGGTATCCAATGCTGGAAACACGGGTATGAACTGAGCGCGTTCCAAAAGAGGGCTTGCTCCCGCCTGAAGATACTGATCCCCTCTAGCGATTGAACTGAAACAAATCCCCGTTCCCAAGCCAGGCCCCGACGAGGTCTTGGTGAAAACTGAGTACTCCGGAGTCTGTCATACGGATCTTCATGCGTGGAAAGGTTTTCAAACTTCCCATCATCATATCCAGGGAGAGCTTGTTTAACCCGGCTCTTCTAGGTGACTGGCCAGTGACCCCCAAAGAGTTTTGCGTGGGTAAGATTTTAGTTGCCTCAACTTTTAGCTACCAACGCTAATTCTTGTAATTAGGTGGCCATGAAGGTGCAGGATATGTGGTCGCTCGGGGGTCCCAGGTCCACGACATCGACATTGGCGATGCTGTGGGAATACAGGTGAGACGATAGCATGGTTTGTCTGCTAATACAAACTTGTGGACTACTAACGGAGGAATTCTAGTGGCTCAATAGAACCTGTGGGCACTGCGAGTACTGTTCTACCGGAAACCAACCCCTATGCCCAGGGCTCCAACTATCAGGATGTACTGTGGATGGTAGCTTTCAGCAATACTGCCTTTGCAAAGCGGATAATGCAGTCCGGATTCCGCCAGGAATACCACTCGAAAAAGCTGCTCCGGTGAGAAAATTTGTCTGCGACCTTTTCCGTACTATGAATTCTAATCTAATTCAGATTCTCTGTGCTGGTATAACTGTCTACAAAGCCATTCTAGAAGCGAACATGCAACCAGGACAAACTATCGGTACGTCAGTCACCGCTAACTTTTACCACTGGCATTTTCTTCACTGACTGGGGAATCTCCAGCCATTGTCGGTGCTGGCGGAGGATTGGGATCTTTGGCCTGTCAATATGCTAAGGCATGTGGCTATAAGGTCCTGGCATTATCCTCTGGATCAGCGAAGCGAGATATGTGTTTGTTCAAACTGGGGGCGAACTATTACATTGACTACAAGTCTCCCGATGTGGTTAATGAGGTGAAGAGTACCACCGATGGTGGACCTCATGCCGCAGTTATTGTCTCTTCTGTGGAAGAACCTTTCCATCAGGCGCTCCAGGTAAAAGCTCTCCCAAACTTTGATATTGATGGTGTGAAAGAAGTGTGCTGACTGAATTTCAAACTACAGTACATTCGCCCTGGAGGAACAGTTGTCGCAGTCGACCTCCCACCAGGAAAGATGTCTACAAATATATTTGCCCTGGTGACTCAAAAAATCAACATCAAAGGCTCTTATGTCGGCAACCGACAGGAGACAGAGGAGGCACTTGCAATCCTCGCCCGGGCCAGATTCGAGGTTCAATCCAAGGTGGTCGACTTTGTGGACCTTCCCCGCATTTACGAGATGATGGACAAAGGTATGTTTCCATGGGCTCGTGAGTGAATAATGCCCACTGGTTCAATAGGTAACAATCTCTAGGACAAATGCATGGTCGAGCTGTCCTCAAGATTGGAGACAGTTTATCGAAGTACCCTGTTCTCCTCAACGGTCCAGCACAGGGCTACTTTTACCAAGCTCAGCAAAGCAACGTCGTATCAGCTGGCCTCCAACAAGCTATCGAGAAAGCCGGCCGGGATTTCCGTTCAGATACGGTGACCGTTCCTTCCGAAGCCATGATGCAAGTGAGTCCTCGCTAGGTCCAGTTAGGATACGAGGGATTCACAATGTTGACTGTCAGTACCTCCCAGGCTATTCTGAACGCTTCGACGTTCGGAGATGATATATACGACGAGAGAGGAGATCCCTCTGTTAAGGCTTTGCAGGACAAAATCGCCCGGATGACAGGCAAGGAAGCAGCGCTCTTTGTGCCCTCCGGAACCATGGGTAATCAGATTTGCCTGCGCGCTCATTTACACCAGCCACCACATACGATTCTGCTTGATTACCCCGCACACGTCCAGTGCTGGGAAACTGGCGCTATTCCTCTGCTCTCTCAGGCCACTGTCACTGGGGTGGAACCAAAGAACGGAGTTCATCTCACGCTCGGGGACGTGAGGGATCGGATCGTTCTTGAAGACAATTGTAATTTTCACCCTTCCGGACAATTTCTGTTTTCTTGTGTTTTTGCTAATGTGAAAACTCCCAGATCATTTCCCACCGACTAGGATTGTCTCCCTCGAGAACACTCTTAGCGGGACAATTCTACCCCTAAAAGATGCTCAGGAGATCTCTAGATATGTGCGAAGTGTCCCTGTTCCTCCGGGCAGGACACCCATCGCAATGCACCTAGATGGAGCTAGACTTTGGGAAGGGGTGACTGCAGAAGGGGTAGATATTAAAGACTACTTGGAATGCTTTGATACCGCCAGTCTCTGTCTCTCCAAGGGTATCGGGGCACCGATGGGAAGTATGATTGTGGGCAGTAAGAAGCTTATTGATCGAGCCGTTTGGTTCCGAAAGATGTTCGGTGGTGCAACAAGACAAGTGAGACTCATCCTTACTTCTATCATCAAAATCACGGATCTTTCCTGCGAAAAGCAAAGAACGAAAGGCACTAATAGCAAATAGACTGGTATGATGGCCGCGGCTGCTTCTGCAGCATTGGATGCTCATCTATCTCGGCTTCCCATGGTTCACGCTCTCGTTCAGCGATCGGCAGGGTATCTTCATGGAATTGGATATGAGTTTTTACATCCAGTGAGTACAAATATGATCGTTCTGGACCTAAAAAAGATTGGTCTCTCCGGGGAACAGCTGGTCAAATGTTGCAAAAGTCATGGAATCTTTGTTTTCCCGAGTGGACGGCTGGTGTTTCATCATCAGATATCGGAGGATGGTGTATCAAAACTACACGCGGCTTTACTGGAGTTGGTCACCAGTCATAATAGGTCACGTTTTTAGGTAGCTCTCCGCAACCACTTTTGGATGATGTGGAACTGAGAGGGGGATTTTAACACAGCCAACAATGTTTTCATTATCAGACCTGCCACCTTTGGGGTTTCTCGCCACCTTGGACTTCAACATCCAAGTCGCTGGTATCTTCCGGGGTATTGCAGCGCATTCCTGTCTTTCCCTTTCTTTGTGTTTTTTCTATAATGTGATGCGTCATATATCCGTGGGTTTCTTCCTAATGCTTCGTAGTTGTAAATGGCCTCTAGGGAATTTCGGGGTCAGATACTGCCAGACGTGCTTTAAATAACTGAGAGTACTGATAATAACTTGGGAAAGGGGACGGTTGGTGGGAGGGGAGAGATTAGCGTGCAGTTACTGTAGGACTAAGCCTTTGTTTTGCTATGATAGGTTTCAGGTGTATGGGGAATTAAAACGTATGTTGGGCCGAGTATGTCTCCCTGGCACTAGTCTGCCATTGTTGCGCAATTTAAATTCGTCGGTACATATGAGCCCATACTATATTCTCATGTCCTGATTGCCACATTTCCTGCTCTGGGGTATCCTGGGCCTTAAAAATCTACTTCTTTGGTCTAATTTTTGCTCAGATCTTACTAAATCTTGCCCACAATCTTCTGAATCATCTTTGACGTGTCGACCCTGATATGCTTCATATCTCACGCGTACACCGTATTCCAGACGGCCCAGTACCCTTTTATTTATGTGACTGGCTTGGATTGCTGGGGGGCTTACGGTAGTAGTCTTGCCTATCTTTTGGGTGTAATTGTAGTGAGGTAGATCACAATTAGGTAGTGAAGGTTAGAGCGAACTAACTCTTGATGAGAAAATAAAAGTCAACTTGTATCTGTGCCCTCCTCGATAATACGGCCCACCCACCGCTTCCGCTTATGGGTGCGCCCCGCATCCTCGTCATTCTCGCATCCTCGTCACTTTTTCACCATTTTGCTCGATAAATCAATACATTAGCTAATTATCAATAAAAAAAAGATCACCTCGCTCTCTAGCTAATCTAGCTGATTCGATTGATCTATCAATATCCTCCTGGGGCCTCTGTGGCATATCTGTACCGTGAACTAGCTTCCACTCCTTCCTTCGCTTCCTCTCTTCCGCAGCAGCTTCCTTCTCCTTCCTGGTCGCAATTATCCGATTTGCATCGCGTACCGTTAGTATACCATTCTGGCTAAGCGGTTTAACCTGTCGCCTGGTAATCGGGCGCCGTAGGGGTTCCTGCGCGGCCCTTATACGCCCGATAGTCTCCTCTGTCATCATAAGCCGTTCATACAGGATTCGCTGATGACTGAAAAGCTTCGCAATATCTCGCTGAACCTTAGGTGTAAAATCGTCACCTTTCTTTGATATCTTTGCCTGGTTCTTCTCAAGGGCCTCGATTGATTTTGGAGGCGTATTCTCCACGCTTGATGATCTAAGATCAGGTGGTGGTGATGGTGTTTGGTTCGGAGGTCGGTATGCACGGAGATCAGGTGCATAAAGATCAGGGATTACTAGCTTACTAGCTAGTTTATCCACGATCTTTTCTCCATTGACTGGCCATATACCACGATCTCTGAAAGATTCGCGGATCATACGCGGTGTAAATGCCTTTACTCGCACAGGTCCGATCATGCGTAGAAAATCTGATTTACCACATGGCTGACCACCCCAGAAAGATAGCTCATTATTCATAAGCCGAAAGTGCTGCTTATAGCTCAGAAATGGCTTACCATCGAGTGGCTGGCAAAGATGCGTCGAATGAGGTATAAATCCAAAGGGTATAATATCATTATCCTCACAGGCCGAGAGGAATTCAAAGGTAAGGTGTGCACCATGACCATCGAAGATAATATAGCGCTTTTCGCCCCTTTTAGTACGGTCGGATGATCGATTAGTGGCTATATTAAAATAATATAGCCATTCAAGGGCAATTTCATCGGATATCCAGCCATTTGGTGATATAGCAGTAAGAGTGTTTAGTGGTAAACCCTCACTCTCGTTGAACCAGCTCTCCATGATCCTCCCGCCACTCTTGAATATAAATAGCGGATCCATCTGCCAGCCATCTGCAGCAATGCATTCGAGGGCAGTGATAGTCTCGCCTCGCTCGGCTTCAGCAAGATCAGGGCATGATTTACTACCGATTACCCTGCGAGATTGGCCCCGACCAGGCTGGAAACCACACTCATCAAAATTATAGACTAGCCGCGCGGGGACGTCTTTCAGCAGGGTTGCTAGTTGATGATACCAGAAAGATAGGGCTCCTGCATCTTCAGCTTGAATTCGCTTTGCCTCCTTTAGATTCTGCTTTACCGGGGCTAAGCATAGGTGCTCTAGTAGGCGTGATATGAATCTATATGCCCAGTTCTTGCTAACCTGCCTATCTTTGCCCGCGCGCGCGAGTGTCTAATTTACCCAGGCCTCTATCATCTTTGCAGTAGGTGGTAGGTTCCAATCGCGCATATTAGCAATCCAGGCAGTCAATGCTTTCTCCTGATATGCTGTAAGGGCATTCTTAGCCGATTCAGGGGTGGTCAAGGGCGATCGAGCTTTTTTGACGCGTGTAGAGAGGGTAGTGCGAGAAACGCCGAATTCACGCGCAATCTGCGCAATTTTCGGCCTCTTTTGGGCTAGAACGGCTTTGCAGCCCTCATGCAGGCGAGATTCGTCGAAATCAGCGTTTTTAGGCATAGTGGGTGGATGGTATAGCTGATTCTATGCGAATGGTGAAAAAGTGATGAGGATGCCGGAATGACGAGGATGCGGGGCGCACCCATAAGCAGAAGCGGTGGGTGGGCCGTATTTATCGAGGAGGGCACAGATATTTGCCCGTTAGGCACAAGACCCCACCTACACAAGTTACTTTTTCATTTGCAGTGTGCATTACGCGCTTTTCGTCAGCAGGCAGGTTGGGACCGGCTTGTCAGGATCGCTTTTGTGAGGTCGTACTTGGCTGCTAAACATTGTATCCCACATACATAATTCAACGGTGACGGTCAATCCAATGATTGATTATGGTTGCAAACGCTCCTCCAACAGGGCTTTTTTTTGTTCACCGCAGCACTTGTTGACTCAACCGCACGCGCACAACCAGTCAACCGTTCGTGGCAATCCAGAAGCGGGCAGCATGCCTCATCAGCGGAGCGTTCAGAACCACAGCAGTGGAGGCTCTGAATACAGAACTACACCTACCACCAATTGCGACCCATATGAACCGTCTCGTGAAGGAAACGGCTGTACGATTGCGGACAGGACCCACATTCGCTGTTCCCCCTACGATGCTACGAAGTCGACCTGCGGAAGAGAGAGAATGGGCCGGATGGACACCGATGGAGGCGCAAACCTGGAAGACGGGCGGATGTCTTACGGCTCCCCCGGGTACTTTGGCAAGGCACTGGGAGAGTCGGAAGGCATTCGTCCAAGCACCCTGGCAAGCGCCACCAGAAGTGATCATCGAGGACAGAGAAGTCGCAGTAAGAAGCCACGACCAGATTGTATCCAAAGACCCAAGAGCAAGACCCTGGATTCTCTACACTGATGGTAGTGGGGTCGAAGGGAAAATCGGAGCAGCAGCCGTGGATCTCCAGAATCACCATACCCATAGCCAAATGGGGGATGATGACACGTCCACTGTGTATGCTGCTGAACTTCGCGGCATCGAGATGGCACTCAATTCAACCCTGGAAAGCACGGCACCATGGGTGACACAGGTGAAAAACGGACTTGTCATCTTCGCGGATAGCCAAGCGGCATTGAAGGCGCTTCGCCAACCACGAATGCCATCGGGACAGGTCTATCTGGAAGGGTGCCTTGACCTGATAAGGCGACACGCCGCTAACGGTATCCGAACTGAGCTCAGGTGGATACCTGCTCACCAGGGAGTGGCTGGCAATGAACTTGTCGATCGACATGCAAAGGAGGCGGCCCTGGAACCGCAAGGACCACAGAAGCCAGACAATCGGTATATCCGTCTCGCTGCTGCGGCTAAACGCCGTATTCGCCGCGAGGCGAAAGCCGACTGGGAAAGATCATGGCTCACAGAGAAAACAAGCCGGCCGACGAAACGCCTGATCGAACTACCAACTAAGAAGACCCTGGAATACTGGTCCGACCTCCGGAAGGCCACGGCATCAATTCTGATGCAGCTTCGCACTGGGCGAATTGGTCTTGCTGCTTACTTATATCGCATCAACCGGCGCGAGTCAGCGAGATGTAGTTGCGATCTGGGAAACCAGACGGTCAGCCACATCTTGCTTGAATGCCCGCTGCTCCAGGACGAGCGCAACTGGATGAGAAACTCCTTGTCGGACCGTGGAGTCGCTCTTCGACTCGACTTGCTCCTAGCGCGGCCAGAGGCCCGCGCGATTGTGGCCGAATTCATGATAGGGACAAATCTCTTGGAACAGTTCCGAGCAGTCGACCCAATGGCTCTCGGGGTGGAAGAAAGCGACGAAAAAGAATGACCCCCTAGGACAGTGTGACGGAAGGAGAAGGATGGTGCCCGTTAGGAGTGCAGTGCCAGGTCCACTGCACTCCCTTGATGCAAGCGAGCACACGAGCGGCAACCGACAGCAAGTATAGCTGTGCAGACAGAAGAGTGTGGGGAAGGAGTTGTGTAGTGGAGTTGGTCCTGGGTGACGGAGGGGACGAGGGTGACGTTCGTTCGTTTGAGTTTCCTTTGTATTTTTTGCGCTTACATAACCGAGTTCGTCTCATTTGTAACTTATCATTCTCGAACGACCACTCAGGGGGCACACCTAGTGAGCCCTATGGAACGGTCGTTCAGTGGGCTGGCACCCACCTTGAAGCTGTCGGCAGGCCTGACAGCACTCCCGCATAGCAGCATGTATTAGAGCGAGCTACATCGGGCAAATGAATTCATCATCATCATCATCATCGCAACATCAAAATTACATTTCTGTGCTGCGACTATTACATGGTTGAGGTGGTAGACTGGAATATTTGGCAGCTCACACTTCGCAAATAAACATGGGTGATATGAATTGCGGCTTTGCCAATTAGGACCCACTGGTGTTAATTTGCGGTCGCGCTTTCTGACATTAGGAACCACGACACTTTACCAGATCCGATGGGATCCATTAAATTTTTGGACGGCGACTTGTTTGATCTTGAATTTTGAATGGCAAACACATGTTTCTTGTCGTGTGTTGGGTAATACGCGGGTTCATGGCTGCATGATATTTTAATCCGTTCTCTAGCTAAATGGGCAAAATATATCTTGTCCTTCTATGACTTGAATGCATATTCTACACAACACCAACACCTGGGGGTGGTCGCAGGTGCCAGCAATTTGCAGGACTGCGTTCTTTGAACAGACTTTGCCTTTCTGAACCACTTTTCTTCACCTGAATAAGCCGATATTGAGACCAAATAAGAACCAAAACCTATCTGGAACTTTTTGGACCTCGGAGGTGATCCGTGCTACATGTTAATGTCTCATTCCATTAACAACATTAATTGAAATAAATGTAATGCTTTTTGGCCTAGTGGTTACTTTCTCCACTGGGGTCGCGCGTTTCGCGTTCGAATCCTCCGGGCGTCGTCATTTCCGAATGATACTTAGATTTTTTGCATTTGATCAGTTTCCTCTCACGGATTTGGCTATTCGGTGTTCAATTTAGTCTTCACTTCTGTGTCGTGTTATATATTGCTCAAATATGACAGCAAAACCACCTTCGCCCAAGTAGAGACGGCTCGCGTCGCGTCGCGTGGATGTAGCTCGTGTCTCCGCACTTCCACCGATCGCCTCTAGTGTTCGTCATTAACATAACGCGTCACCAAAAAGATATTTCAATCCCCTGCTCTCATGGCAAACCCAGTTCAAAAATCGGGCAGGCCTATATTTACCTCTCTGACCGGCAAGCCATCGGACGTCAGCTGTCCGCGGAAACAAGGGTCGTATGCAGAGCTAGTTGGATCAAGAGTGGCCACGTAGCGATTGCGGCCTCCTTGTCTTCCATGCGTGGCATAGTGGGCTTTGAGGTTATCGCGACGCGAGAAGCTGCGCTGGCACTCCGGAACCCAGCAAGAATGAGGTTTTCCAGCCAAGTGGCCGGACAGATGACGCTGAAGGCCTTGGAAGTAGCGGAAGCGAACTTTACATCCCACAATGCTGCATTTGAATTGTCGCCGCTGAATATGCCAGGGTATGCTGTTGCGACTGTGACTCGAGTATCCCTGGTTGCCACAGATGGGGCGTGTGAATTCCTCAAAGTCGTGCCAGGAGGTCGTCCTCCACTCACTGTCGGGCGTCTCACCAAATAAGGCATTGTCGCTCCTATTCAGCATGGCTACACTGCATGACTCGGCAGTAGGGTTTCTCGCGAGGACTTCAACTCTAGGCTCCAAGTCAGAGTCGTCTTTGAACCATACCGGATTCTGATGCTGAGCTTGCTTGGCAAATGCATAAATGGAAAATTCCATACAGATGTTGCCTAGGAAGCCGATCCAGTGTACTTCGACTTGGCTGTTACCAGCCTGGAGAACAGGCCATTGACAGGGGCCTTGCAAAGGGTAGGAAAGGTTCCATTCTGTATGGCTCGTTCAGTGATATGCTTGATTCAATCACTCTATGCGGAGTAGACCGTGACTCCTTACCAGTGTGGTAGTCTCCTCCATCATCCTCCACCGACGGGAGCGCTGTCTTAACCTGTGGATGCATTTTGCTGATGGGCAGATTTAAAAAAAATGTCTGGAGACACGAACATCAGGTCTTGAACAGGTTGGGAGATATACGTGAAAGGCAGGTCGGCAGGGTAGGGTGCTGAACTTAGCTACGAAGAGGTAGCAACTAGCAAATGCTCTACTGTACGGGACGTGCAGATGTTGCTAGTAGATCCGCTTTGCTAAAATCTTCAACTGTGAAGAGAATCTGCTTCAACCGGCCTAGTTCAAGCCCAGTTGCGTGAGCCTGAGTGGGGAAGGTGATCCTTTCACCAGGCATTATTCCGTTGATTCACACTATCAACGTTTGACCACCCTAATAATACGCTTAATTGCATGTGAAGTCATTATTTTGGAGCAATTTCTATTTCAGTTCACTGAAACGTACATCGAAAAGATATAACTTCTCGTACAACGTCGCGCAGCGTCTAAAGCATCTTCCATGATCAAGCGAGACCCAACATGGACACTTCCCACGCTCGCCCTGTCGGAGACCATCCGGAGGATCAGCCCGCAAATTACCATCCTCCGACTGGCGAACCTGCCCCCGAGAATCAAGACAACCCGCAGATGGCGGTCGATCCACCCTCAGACCCACCTGCTGTGAGTAGGGAAAGCACAACCATTTGATGATTGAGCTGACCACTGTTTGACAGCCCGAAGAGCCACAGAGACCTCCCTTGATGGATCAGCCGTTTGAGCCTGCTATGGAAGCTCTCGCGCGGCTCGAACGCGAAGACCCTAAACTTGCGTTCCAAGCCGCGAGAATCGTGGGACTGTATCGGCGCTTGTGGGAGTCATGCACATCGAAGCATATAGAGGGAAGCAAGTTGGCCAAAGCGAATCACGGTCTACGAGAGACTCACCGACATTTGACCGACGAGAGGAACAAAATGCAATTGCATCACGATGATCAAATGGCTCGGTTGCAATTCTTTGACCAGGCACTGGAGTCATCTCGGCTTCGACTGTCTGATATTCTTAAAGATTGGGACCGGTACTCCGAGGGGGTCCTAACCCAGAGCACAGTGAATGATGATGCGGAGTGAAAGGAACATGGCAGCAGTGGAACAATCATTGTCTGATAGGAGATTGAGAAATTCAAGATGATGATGATAAAACTGTAACAGACTCCTCCACTTTTAAAGTCTCTACAGTATCGCTTCATTGCGAGGGGTCGGCGTAAATGATGTAGCCAACGGACAAACCGACTGTATCAGCAAGGGTTTAGAGAAGCCTCGGCTATGATATTGTTGTTGAAGAAATCGCCTGTGGCTGAAATCAATTATTGCACATTAAAGTGTGATTAAGATTTGATCAGCAGCAAAATGTTCCGAGGGGAAGAGTCTGACCATGGATAGTGGTAGTGGAAAAAGAGTCACAACTCCCAACACAGGTCTCCCTTTACGGGTTGAGTTGAAACGGAACAACCAATCTCATATGATATTAAATTTGATTTTTATTTAAGACTGAAAGGACTTCGAAAGTAGAAATTCAACAGAAGCTGATTAAAACCTGGGAGGAACATTTCGTATATTCACTTGCAGAGACACTCGTACACAGAAGCCATGAACAAGAGATGTTGGCCATAGCAAAAGCGACGGGCGTTTCACAGAGAATGAGATTCACACACATAATGGACAAAGAAACAAACAGCGAGCTCTTCTTGTATTCTCCGTTTGTCGTGCTATGGAGACACTATTTCAACTCGATCATCCTGTAGACATATTGACTTGGTGAGACACTCGCACACAGAAGCTAGGGACAAGTGATGTTGGCCATAGCAAAAGCAAGCGATCGTTCACGGAGAATTAGACTCGCACACATAATGGACACAAAAAAAACAACCAGCTCTTCTTGTATTCTCCTTTTATCGTGCCATGGAGACACTAATTCACCACGTAGACACGTTTCTCGCTCGCCTTCAAAACCTCGACAATCCCATCATTTAAGGCAGCCACAGCTTGCCTGCGGCCAAACAGCTCCAGAGCCTGATCGTTGCAGCACTGGCGCAGTACATCACATTCGGTGGTCAGCCACTCGATTGACCTCTGAAGATGACGTTGCTCTTCCTCAAGTCGTATCTTCAATGCAGAATCGACAACGTAGCATTTCCACAAGCAGAGATACAAGTCAAGAAGGCCGACGATGGGAGCTGCAAGGGAGTTGTGATGACGCAATATGTATTCAAACTCCGTGGTGAGGCTTGCCGAAGTAGCGGGAGCCTGAATCATCTCGAATCAGCATTGTCATACAATAAGGGGGAAGGCTATTTGACCTTGTTCCCACCAGCCGAAATAATTTTCTCAGGTGCTTGATCGTGAATTTGCTCCGGCAGCTCACCGTCAGCCTCTCGGTGTACTTGTTGTCTTTTGGAGGACTGGTCATTAGGGGAAGACAAACGACGTTTCGAAGAGCTCATGGTGTTCGATTTGTTGCTGGATGTAATCTGACTCTCATGAGTGCTTTAAATAGGCGGCAGATCTCTTCATGACATAGTATAGATAATCTCACCAGTGCAACGGCGGACTTAGTTGACAGTTTATCAAAGTCCAAATGCTCCCCTCGGAAACGATCAAGTTGCATCAACGTTGAGACTTGGCCCGTCGAACCCAGTCTTTAAGTCGATAGTCTCGACCGCGCTTAACTCTCAGATCATTGAACGGAATCCATAGCCACGGAAGAAATCCAATGTGACCTGTGCAAATGGCCACAGGTGGCACGGTTCGGTCGTGTTCGTGTCGGATTTTGTTGTCAAGCTGGGGGTTGACCAACCTTCCCTTGCCGGCACAGGTTCCGTATTTGACGGCGTAGGTCAAGGCACTTTCTCCCTCTCGATTTTGTATCAGAAGATCAATCTTCTGATGACTGAGGAGAAGTTCGAGAACGTCTATTGATCCATGTTGAATAGCTCTCATTAACGGAGTCTTTCCACGCAGGAAGGTGTTGGCATTGGCACCATAAAGAAGCATGAGCTCGGCCCGAGCATAGTCGTTGTCTCTGGCTGCCAGGTGCAGGAGATTGCTGTTCTGGTGTTGAATGTTGTACTTGAGGATGCTGGGCTGCAATCTGCAGTAAAGATTCCAACATGATTTTCCCAAGGAGACCATGTCACGAACGTTTGGCTGAGTGGCAACGAGCATGAGAATTTGGTTTGGTAGGCTTTGGAGGATTGCCTACAGGAAATTAGCCAATGCCCTCACGAAAGAATTGAGATTTTTCAGCAGCAACATTGAACAGACCATCGTGGAAGACATGCTCTTATAGATTACGAGAAGTATGCAGAAGACGGCAAGTTTGTGGATGAGGCGAACTTGTGTCTGCTTTTCTAGGAGGGTTCTGAGACTTTTATATTGGATATGGCTTCTCAGGACTCCTATTCTAAAAGACGGCTCCTGAGAGCCAATTGCATGTTCCTGGAGACAGTGTCTCCACCCCGGGGATCATGCTTGTGAGCTCCAGGGAGCCCAGGATATCCTAGGAGCTCTTCTAAGACGACCAGAAGCATGCAAGTGACTTGTGGCGGGGCATGACCGGCCAGAATGCTTGGCCTGCGTGCTATAATGGACTCAACCTGTTGTGGTTGCCTGCACAGTATCGACTGTCTAATCCCTCTTTATTTGCTATACTGTATCTGCGACAACAATCGCAATCGGTTGTTTGTCTGGTCGTGTTATATTCCCCGCCTTTCGAAAGACAATTCCTTGTGTAGGGTATGGATAACATTTGCTTCATCCTGAACGTACTCATTTTCCCTCATCATATTCTGACTAGCCACAGAACACTGTTTAGTACCTTGTTCAATAGGTAGAGGTATTTATGCTGGCCTCACCAGTGATACAATAAGCTTCGGAGTTGAAATCCTCCATAAATATTTGGCCACCATTACCCAGCGTCAGATGGAAGAAGTCTGAAAGTGGGCAGTAAATTTACTGACCATCTTAACTGAGCTTGCACGTCAACAAATGTATACTTTTGAGGCTCGAACGATGAGTGCTGTGCAATTATTGGTGCTATCTTGATGTACAACTTTAAAGTAGGAGCGTACAGTGGACTAAAGTGCCACCAGAGACGTCGACGCCTCAACTACTGATAACTTTACAATATCCATGAGAAGTCTCGGCGCCAGAGGCTCGTACCAACTGGTTAGCTATTAGAATTCTGGGAATTTGCAGTTACTTTCCTAGGTCCAGCGATTGGAGCGTTCCGATTTAAGGAAACACGGGGATTTAAGGTCACACAAGCCACGGCGTTCAACAGAAGTATCACGGGAAGGGCGTCTAAAGGTATTCTGATTCATGCCGTCTTTGATAGTCTAGGATTGCATCTTCGGTATTCTTTACATCGAGTGATTTCATCGCTTCTTGCTCATTCCATATCAAGCTCTCCATTCAGTTTCCCAGTTGTCTCCGAAACGGCTCGACCACAGAACCTGAACCTCATCGAAGGTGTCCTCGGTGACATCTTCCCATTCCCCATTCGCATTTTCCAGCATGTCAGCGTCTACAATGTCGAACTTATGGCCAGCCCAGTCTCCCTTGGCCAGATATTCTCCTCCTGCAATGCCGGTTGAACTTTCAGACGACCAACAGATTCGTATCAAAACTATATGGCCAAAGGTGATTGCAGACGGCAACTGATCCTCCAAGACATATTGACCGGTAGTCAAGTTCCTCAGGACTCGATTTTTGAGATTGACAGATGCTTCCATGTCCGAGATAGTCGCTGCTTCCTCCCCTTCATCCGCGTAAGACCAAAGTTTAAACTTCTCCTCAACGACATCGTAGCGAAGAGGCTTGGATGTTGCATCGCTGTCGACGGAAATCAGGTGGAGATTGTCTTGTTGAATCGTGGCAGGGAGGTCGTCTGGACTTAAGTAATCCCCAATACAGATGATCGGCATGCCAGCCCACTCCTCTTCAATCAGTTCACACAGTATGTTGGCCCACGACGAAAAAAGCAATTCTGACAACTTTCCACCAAGTAGTTGTGTCGTGTACTCGCGTTTGGACGGGCAAACCACCAGCCAGTATTGGCCCATTGTTTGTTTCTTTCTTCGAAAGACAGGATAGGACGGAAGTCTTAGATCGTGGAAGTGGGGGCCGTTAACCGATTAGAACAAAGTTGAATGCGCGAGAGACTAATACTGGATGGAACGGGAAGATGGTACGCTTGTGGATTAGATGAGCTTGTAACATTGCATGTCTAGTGAGGGGCCTGACCTTTATATGTTGGTCACGACGCCTCAGTCGTACCATCTCACTGAATGGCTCCTGGAAACGCACCAAAAGCTCCTGAAGACGGTGCGTCTGTCGCGGGGATCATACCTGTGAGCTCCAGGGAACTTTAAAGACCCTAGGAGCTCCCTAAGGATCTCTGCAAGCATGACTGGTGACTTGTCGCGGGTCCCTGACTTATCAGAATGCCACAGGGCTGCATAGAGAGGCGGTCGCCTTCATCCAATTCATGATGTCAACCCCAATGGGTCGCTACTCGTACCAAAACAAGGATGAACATCATAACAATTGCGTTCCAGCTGATGCAACACTTTTGTATGGCGAATCCCAGCCATTTATGTTGTCATCAGGCACCAGGATTTTCAACATCCGTGGACCTTCGTTATACTGTAAGTTCATGGGTATTTCAACCCCCATGAGCGCCCTCATTTTATGTTCTTCAATCAATCAAGTCTTTCAATTCAATCAATCTCCCCTTTTGATTCCGTTGCTCTGATTGGCCAATTTCCAAGTACTCCGTAGCTGTCACATTGTTGATAGTTATGAGCCCGATAGCCCACCGGTGATCAGGTGTACTCAATCAGTTTATACTTCAATTCAATTCAATCCATCCGACCCCATCACCAGTACCTTTGTCGCAGCTTGGTATAGCTATCTCATCACAATGTCGTTGCTTCAAGACACTCCTAGTCAGACCGCAACGGAAATCCTTTGGGATGAGCGCCTCCATTCTGACGCACAATGGAGATCTTGGATCGGCCATGTTGAAGCTATAGCAACGAAGGCGGGGATTTGGAACTATATCAACCCAAGCCTGCCAGAGGATAAGGTGAAGAAAGAGCCAGTCGATTCAAGGGATACGTTCCCCCAGGTCTCGGAAGTACTCCACAATGCGACAGATATATCGGCCCTCAATGACGCCGAATACACCAAGTACTCGAGGATGGTCACCCTTTTTGACAAGGAGAGATCATTTAACGAGCAGATAAGGAACAAGATCAATCGAATCGATTCCCTCATTTACCAAAACGTCGCTCCCGAACACCGCCACATCCTCGAAGGCAAAATGACACCATACGCAAAGCTCGTGCGGCTCACCCAGCAATTCGCACCAAAGGGTGACAACCGTCGTCAGCGCGTCCGAAATGCATGGAGAGACCTAGTTAAAAGGCCTCTCAAGGGACAGAGCATGGACAAATGGCTCGCAGCGTGGTCAAGCCTCTATGAAGAAGGCAAGGCACTGAAAATCCCTGAAGTTGCATATAAGGACGACGACGGCAACCCTGAAGACAGAGATGCAATTCGCGATTTCTTGCAGGCCGTTGAAGCCATTGATGAGGTCTTCGTACACTTATGGAGAAAGGATCTTGATGCAAAGCCAAAAGAGAAGGTTCCTTTTCAGGATATCCTTGCAGCGTTCCGAAATTACCGAGGATCGAAGCAGGTTGCAAAGCAGAATGTCAGTGCAGTGGCATTCGCTGCCACACTCAATGGTCGTAACAGTTCGTCGCGTGGTAACGACATCTCATCTCGATCAAAACTCGGTTGCGTTTGCGGAAGAACTGGTCATGTTTCAAAGGACTGTTACCATATAAATCCTTTGATAAAACCCTCAAACTGGACGACTTCCGAATACGTCAAGAAACGCATCGAAGAGAACTTGAAGAAGCTTGGATCGGAGGAAAGAAAGGAGATCGAAAAGATGATGAAAAGCGAGACCGAACAGCCGACAATCGCCAAAACCGCCCAATTGACCATCACTGACGAAGGCGATATCCCTACTGATACGGTTGCATTTTTCACAGCAACGATTTCGTCTCATGTCTTCAAAGCCGCCCTCACGCTTCCACTTTCAATGTGCTGGATTGTCGATTCAGGGGCCAACCTGCATATATGCAACCGACGCGACGCATTTGAATCCTTTGTACCCGACCGACGAACTATAGCGCTAGGCACAGGTAAATCTGTCGCTCTGGGACATGGAACTGCTAAAATCAGTGTCGTTCGGCCCAATTCAGGAAAAATTGAAGCGACAGTAAGAAACGTTTGGTATGTTCCCGATTTTCAGACCAATATAATCTCGGTTTCCGAGATAAAGAAACATGGGTATTTCTTCAGCAGCGAAGGCCCTTATATCACCAATTCAAAAGGAGTGGTAGCCCATTGCACAGAGCAATATGGTCTATATTTATTAGAAGACCCTCTGACTGCACCAGTGGTATTGAATACCCTCAAAAAGTCTGCGAAACCTCTGATGTCTGTCGCATCCCGGCAGCTTTGGCATCGCAGGCTTGGTCACATCAACATGAAACGCCTGGAAGTGTTGGAAAAAATGGCAGCTGGCATCAAAATCAAACCAGAATCGGCCGAATCGCCAGCATTAACCTCGGAAAAGTGTGAAGTATGTGAGAAATCGAAAACACAGCGACAGGTCTCCCGTAGGCCGGCTGGCAGGACCCATGTCCATGGGAAATTTGGACGACTTCATTTCGACCTAGTTCATATAAAAGATGGGTATAATCAACACCAATGGGTCTCACACCTCTACTGCGAAGGAATTCGACTACACCTTGCCCAAACCCACGAAAAGAAGAACGGTTGCATCAATGCACTCATCGCTTTTATCGCTATCTGCCGTAGTCAATTCAATATGGATATCCTCGTGCTCAAAAGCGATAGGGAGCCTACCTTGCACAGCGTGTTCCATGAATACTGCCCGGAGGCAGGGATTTCAGTGGAATTTAGCGTGATTGGCACCCCTGAGCAGAACGGCTTTATCGAGCGGGCAGGAGGAATAATCATCACTACTGCAAGGGCTCTCATTCAGGAATCAGGCTTACCGAAGAAGCTTTGGCCGGAAGCTATCACTGCAGCAGTGTATCTGCTAAACCGCGTGCCTACCAAAATGCCCACCGGTGAGTATATTATCCCCTGGGTGGAAGCAATGAAGCAGAGAGACCCTTCAATTGAGCTGCGCCCCAATCTGGCGAATGTGAAGCTTTACGGCTGCAGGGCGTACGTTCGAATCCAGGGCATTGCAAGTTCTGACAAGATGGCGGCACGTGCGGAGACCGGATATCTGGTTGGTTTTGTGGCGTCTAATATCTGGAAAATCTGGTTGCCTCGATTGAACAAGGTGGTGGAGGTGCGTGATGTGATATTCGATGAGAACGTTCGCTACAGCGACACCGAAGCCGCGCAGCCAATTCCCCAAGATGTGCTCAACGACGCGATCTGGGATGTACAATATGAGGATTCCGAGCACGAACGTCCACAGTACGACCTCGATGACATAGCGTTAGAGATCCCACCGTCGTTGTTGCCATCAGCAACTCAGAACGAGACCTCAGTATCGCATCAAGAAGAGTTAGTGAGAACAATGGATCACTCACTGACCAAGACACAACATAACCACATCAATTCGACACCTCCGCCAATGATGACGCCATCCCCGACGCCAACGCCCGAAGCACCAAGGAACGAAGCCCTACCAGGTGCATTTCCAATTGACCGCACCGAAGCTGAGGGGGTGAGGGCGCTGGATATCGATGCCAATCCTGATCAACAGCTCCTGGGCGACCTATCCAACACTCTCCATCAACCAGTTACCCCACCACCAGGATACCGGCTAAGAGGAGAGCTCGCACCAAGGGATATCGAAGGATCTGTCACTACCGATAATATCATCGAGGGAAGCCGTACCAGAAGCAAGAGGGCTCATTTCAGCGTAATCACTGCTAATGAAGCCGCTGAAGAGGATCCTGATGAGTTTCATGAAGGCTTTTTGATGGCTTTCAATGCGGTGTTCACGAATAAAAGACCCCACCGGGAGGATTTACCGCCTGCCCCAAAGAATTGGTCCGAAATGCTAAGGCACCCGCATAGCGAAGGGTTTACCTATGCAGCCGCAGTGGAAGTAAAGGCACTCGATGCAAAAGGCACATTTAAGGAAGTTGACAGGCCTTCTGACAGAGGACTTGAAGTTATACCGCTTACCTGGGTTTTCACGTATAAATTTGATGGCGATGGGTTCCTGGTCAAGTACAAAGCCAGAATCTGCGTTCGTGGAGATCTACAGAAAGTCACGAATGATGAAAAATATTCAGCTACCCTGGCCGTCAGAACAGCCCGATTACTCTTCGCTCTCGCAGCCCAATTCAATCTCGATTCACGCCAATACGATGCTGTCAACGCCTTCCTTAACGCACTGCTAAAAGAGGATGTGTACGTCGAACTACCCCCGGGCATGTTCCCTAAGGGCAGAAGGTGCTGGAAGCTCCTAAGGGCCCTATATGGCCTGCGAAGATCCCCCAGGCTTTGGCAGGAAGAAGCTACACGAGTACTGCTATCGCTGGGCTTCAAAATGGTGCAGGAAGACCTTTGCCTGTTCGTCAAGGGTGACATTCTCCTCATCTTCTACGTTGATGATATTCTCATTTTCAACCCACCGGTTGCAAGAAAGGAAGCCGATGATATTGGAAGGGAGCTTGGTAAGGCTTGGGAGTTGCGAGAAATGGGCGAAGCGCAGTGGTTCCTGGGGATTCGCATTATCAGAGACCGTTCCAAAGGGCTTTTATGGCTATGCCAGGATGCCTATATCTCCGCAATGGCGAACCGCTATCATTTGGCCCAACATCGCCGACTCGAAATCCTCCCACAATCAATCATGAATTTGAAGCCTTTCAACGGCACTGCTTCACCAAGTCATCATCACGAATATATGAGCAAGGTTGGATCAGCTCAATTCCCCACGATTATCACACGGCCAGACGCAGCCAAAGCAACCTCATACCTGGCACAGTTTCTATCCAATCCAGGCCCTGAGCACCTACATGCGATTGATCAAGTGATAGTCTATCTGAATTCAACCAGAAACCTGGCAATCTGCTACCGAAAGCAGACAATTCCGCCGTCGGTACAGTTCATGAGTGACGCATCATACGGGGATAACCACGATAGAAAGAGCTCTGCGGGATATATCTGCATGATCATTGGCGGGCCGGTTGATTGGAAGGCTTCAAAGCAGAAGACTATCACCACTAGCACGACCGAAGCCGAATTACTCGCCCTGTCCGAAGCGGCCAAATCACTGTCAATGTGGAAGAGACTTTTCGACACCATTCGTTTCGATCCTGGTCACCCTGTCATTCTCCGGTGTGATAATCAGCAAACCATCTCCTTATTAACTAAGGAAACACCTCAACTCCGAACCAAGCTGCGACATGTGGACATCCATCACAACTGGCTCCGTCAAGAAGTACAAGCAGGAAGGATATCGATCGAGTGGATAAAGACATCCGATATGATTGCGGATGGGCTTACGAAGATCCTTCCTCGTCAAAAGCACCTCGAGTTCCTTCGAATGCTAGGCATGGAGGATATTAGCCACCTGCTGAAGGATTTGGATGATGGTGATCAGTGAGTTCTACCAGCAAGCTTCGTGATCTACCCTTGCTGAGGGGGTGTGTCAACCCCAATGGGTCGCTACTCGTACCAAAACAAGGATGAACATCATAACAATTGCGTTCCAGCTGATGCAACACTTTTGTATGGCGAATCCCAGCCATTTATGTTGTCATCAGGCACCAGGATTTTCAACATCCGTGGACCTTCGTTATACTGTAAGTTCATGGGTATTTCAACCCCCATGAGCGCCCTCATTTTATGTTCTTCAATCAATCAAGTCTTTCAATTCAATCAATCTCCCCTTTTGATTCCGTTGCTCTGATTGGCCAATTTCCAAGTACTCCGTAGCTGTCACATAGTTGATACATGACCACCAAAACAAGGAGACCTCAGCTAGAAAAGACACATTCCTTCACTGCGGTAGGCAGCTCCGTATGAGTGATGTTGCTGATGAGGTGAATTCGTATGATTTCAGACGAAGCCGTACTGGGGTATAAAGGAGTGGCTTCGGCCCTTGGTTGGCATCTCAATCATTAGAATCGTTTCTCATTTCCAGCATATCACCAAGTCATGTCTTCGTACCAACCGTGGGGCGGTTTTATTCTTAACGAGATAGGTATCGGGGAGGCTCGAATCTGCTGCGGGACTACCAAGACGGGCGCACCGTGCAAGAACTCCATCAAAATCCAAGACATCAAGGCTGGCCAACAGCAACTGGCAAATCTTGCAGCACGACCACCCGACTTCTCGACTTTGCGGCCTATTTTATGTGATATTGCAAAAAACTTTCTCTGTGTCAGATGGCACCGGCAGCGACAGGCCAACCAAGTTGGCCAGCAGTGGTATGAGGCCGTGGCTCACAACCCGGAACAAGCCGGTCACATCTCCGAGGATGCTTCTGTCGCATTTGATATGGATGCCAGTCAGAGCCAGCGACCCACCCTCACGAGTCCCTCAGAGTCGGAGATTCCCCGCAGGGTTACTCGTCAGAACGAGGAGAGACAAATGCTACCGGGCCGTGACTCCGTTCCTCTCGAGCCATTGGAAAGGACAGTTCGATACGTCACGGCATCGATGCTGCGCACCGACAGTGTTCCGTGGTGTATCTCATCGGCTGAACCAGCCACTCTATCCGGGTTGAATATCGGGGCGGGGATGCAACGTCTGGAACTGCACAGCCTCACTCGTAGCGACGAGGTGTCTCTTATACATTGTCCATTTTGTCTGGGTGACGACGAAGACCAAGCGGATGAGAGCGTGATCCTACGTTGCAAAGAGTGCCGGGGATTAGCCCATCTAGGCTGCGTGGAGGAGTGGCTGGAGAAGCGCGAGGTGGCATCTAACGTGTCCTGCTGTGCCTGGTAAGTCTCGATTAGCCTCCCCAGTTACTTCAATGCTCATACGCCGTAGCCGAAGGGACGACGCTCTGGATGCCCTGCTCCGCCCGCCGAGGACGATCACGACAAATCCCGACATAGATGTTGAAAACGCGAGAGTACATGCATCTCCGGTGGCGGAAGAGACGAATACCATCGAAAACCCTCGGCGGGCCGGTCGAGCCCGTCTCCCGGCGCGGTCAGGGTCATCGCGCCGCAGATCAACAATGTCTGGCGCGGGACGCAGTGTCCGTCGGTCAGCCCGTCTGGCTAACCCGACTCCTTCGCTTCGCCGGTCGTCGCGTCTGAACCGATCATAACCACAAGGTGGTGCATACGTCGGTGGTGGGTAGATGGATCGAGTGTGCGAGGCAAGGGGCCAATATTCATTCGCAATATTCCGCACATGCCTAGACAGTTGTTAGATGACCATCCGTTCTGGTCACCGCCGCGAATCAAATTGCGCTGCATATGTGCGAGAAGACTAGTAACACGCACCCTTAATAATTCATCAAACTTTGGTGACATGGATGCGGAGACCAGGAGATTTGGGTGTTCGATTGTAGACAGTCACGGGCGTGCAATAGCATTGAATAAGACAAATCAGAGTCAACTCGGACGCCTGTGGAACATGTAGAATGTTAGCATATCGTACTTGAATGGAATACAATGAAATTACCATCCGCGCTCTTCGCGCCTTCCCATCAAAGCCTCATATGCAGCAGAGAGTGCAGACCTTGTCCGAATGTTACTGGAGAGTAGCTTTGACATCCTCATATGGCCCCGGCGAGATTCGATTGGACGGGACCCCGTAGAAAGCCCGATCCTCGTTCAACGCAATCATAGCATAATATATCGATGCGTGCGATAGACCGGTAAAGAGGTACATTCGGTGTGTCTAACGAATGAAATCGTTTTCGACGCCAGTATTGATCGTGTTCGACAGACCAAGCATTTCCATGACCACGTCTCTCATATGTTCCGCGTATTGAGGAAAGTGGACTTCGGTTTCAGCGGAGTAAATTGCTTCGCCCTTGAAGTTTTTGCGCATTTTCTGTACCGAGATTCCTATTCAGTCGGATTTGTTAGCAGGCCAGTCGACATGGCGGTTTCTAGGTTGGCATGTACCTTGATAGTTTAGCGCCGAGTCCTCAGATACCGAGATGCCATTCATTTCGCCTGCGATTGTTTTCAAAAGGGTAGAGCATCCTGATCCGGGCTTTCCCAGCACAATCTGACGAGCGAATTGCTGATGGCAGCCACAGGACATCACTTCGTTTGGGAGGGCTACATGATGAGTTTAGCTATATTAATTTGACCGTGGGTGACCACTTACCTGCTTTCTCATGGAGAAGCGCCTTTCGGCACTTGCGCAATTTCCTTCATGCAGCACAACATGATAGTCTGGGCCTTTCGGGCCGAGCATGCGAAATGCTTCCGTCTCATTGTCTTCCCAACTGACCAGAATGCCCCCGGGTATGGCTTCAAGTTGATGCTGTGCGGCAGGTATCGCAGTCGCCGTCCAATCTGACGCATGAACTTTATTTCTGCTTGTCGAGCCGTGGGATGTGCCTTGAACATGGACGCAAATTGATCGAACCAAGAGCTCTTCCACCACATGGCAACAGAAAACGGTGCGTTTGTGTCGGCAGGTTGATCGGAGACCAGGGCCGGTAGAACGACCGGTGGTGCATACAAGCAAAGTCCAACCATCGGCAATGTATCTTGAGCGTACCCTGTCCCTTGTCAAAGTATACGTTGACTTTGCCGGCCAAGCCTCGGACGTAGACTACCTAAATATGGTCGGTGAACTTCAGCAGAGCGAAGTAGGCTCGCAACGCGCGGTCGACTGTTCTTGCGAATGTTGTGTCTGGGATGACGTAGGGCTTTGCATCCTTAAACAGCTCTTGCTGCTTCTCTTCGACGTTCGGATGGGGCAGTGGGCACGCAGTATGTGCCACAGCGTGTCGGGTAGGCGTGCCGGGCGCTTGCCGAGGCTGTCCCGGATTGTGTTCGTGGTCTGTCTGCATCAGTTATCAAAATGCGACACTGTCTATCCCCAAGTACATACCTGATCATTGCATCTCTCGCTGTAAAAGAATTCCTTATCTGCTGACTCACGCAGCAAGTATTGCCAGATCCGACGCGCCGCCGGTGGCTCTAAAAGAGGGCCTATCGTCTCGGCGTCGGCAGAACGGGCATGCCTCCGCCAAAGATCGACGAGTAGAGGCAAGATGGTGTCTTCCTGCTTGCGTAGAGCCTCCTCCCATATCCGTTGTACTTGGCGAGCCGCATCCCGCCAGGATGCCAGTCTGCGTCGATCTCGGCAGGTGGTCAAAGAGGCAAAATTGTACGCGAAGAGGAATGCGCCGCCCACGGTGGAATTGGTCAAGGTGATCCCATTGTGATACAGCTGACCTCGAAGCTGGGGATCAAGAATCAAGTCGCCATGTGGTGTGGAAATGATACCGGAAGGGTAGGTGAGCCCTCGAAGGTCCATCGTTGTCGAGCGGAGCCAATTCAAAACGCGTCTAGCGCGACCGGTCGGCCTGACCTGGTCCGCGTCGAGCCGATCACCACTGCCACGTCCCTCCCCACATGGTATCATAGGCTTGCCATGTCGAGGGCAGGATCGGTCCACTCGATCGACTTGGTTTTCTGAGACGGTGCGACAGTACAAGAAACCGATGCGTCTGTGTGCATGTCAAACCTCCAATTGCAACCACTTGCGGTGATACTCACGTTGTAGCTATCTCGAGAGAGAACCAGGACCGCCAGCTTCAGACCTTCGCCGTGACGTCCCACAAGATGGTCGTGGGCACCGTGGACATCTTTGGTTGAGAATCCCAGAGCTAGAGCATTGATGGGTAGTTGCATGCATGGATTTGCGATCGTGATTCTGCCGGTCTTTTTTTCGCACTGAATGAAGCCCAGTGCGCGTCGATTCTCACGCTCCGCTGGCTGGTCGGCAAGGCTTTGATCGGGAACAATGATTGAGAGATGGTCACTGTAGTCTTCCAAGAATGGCTGGAAGCTCTGACGGTCAAGATTGAATCTTTCTATGATGGCGTCCTTCCTGCGTGGATTAGCGTTTGTCCCGCGGAAGAGGCCGGCACGTACCAATTTTGATACAATTCCCGAAAAGCATCTGCTGGCGTCCAGTCTTTGACGTAGCTGGGGGAGATGCCGAGAGACACCACGCGTCGGGGCGCTCGGTATGTAGTGAGCGTGGGTTTCTGACTCTGTTGCAGCTCGCGTTTAAGCTGCTCATTCGCCTGAGCCATCAGACTATCATCCTCGCTTGTGTCGGTGTCATGGTTGGTTGTCATTCTTGAATGTCGCGTAAGTGACTCAAAGTAAGTTCGTTTTGGGAAGAGAATTGACTAGAGAAGGGTGACGGTTTTTATATTCTGGCTTCCATAATAAACTCAAAAGTCTCATTTGAAACGTTGAGCAACGGTGATCTTTTTCATCGTAGAGAACCACAGTCTAATGATGAGGAGCAAGTGTAACTCACTTACTCGAGATTGCCTGTCTGGGTTGACCCGCGAACGCTACAAGATTGTTGGTGGTATGAAGTTGATGATCAACGTTGACGGCGGGGCATACTCTTTGCTGGTGGTGCAATAAGCGTCAGTGACCATGTTCGCCCACTGCTTTCCTGGTGTCCGCACAACATCGAGTCAACATGCTTGCAAAAATCTGCTCAGTGTGTACCTTTGCACTGCATTTACAGGTAACCGGAATAATCCTGCACAGCTGTGGCCTCACAAATGATTTTCCTCTTCAATAAGGAATTTGGTCATGACTTTCAGGCATAACTCATAGGGAAGGAACTTGTTGGCTCCACACAGAACGGCTTACGCATTATATACAAAAGGTAGTATGTACATCGGGGGTGTTCTAGAACTGCAATATCGACAATGGTTCCAAAACTAAATGCTTCTTTGCAGATTAGAGTATATTGTCGCAAATAGTAGGCCTGTTGACCCCAGGAACGCAGAATGGAAGCTAGGATTCATCACGCATCCTTCTAGGCGTCTCACCTAGGTACGGGTTCGAATTTTGGCCCAGTTGGGTAGATCAACTGCCGAAGCAATATGCAGGCCACAACTACTGTGTAGATACATGTTTGTTTGATCCAAGGAGATTGTTCCAAACTTCCTGAGCGGTGAACTTTGAGCCTCACCTGATAAAGCCTGTCGTGGCCGGTTTGCCGTTCGTGGTGTCAGGCTGTCCTTGCGGCGCGGCTATAATGAGTTCGCAGCAAGGCGACCAACAGTTGTCCGCGGCGGCTGCATCTCCGTCAGAAATCGCGAAAAAGCTGGCAAAGCTGAAGTCAAGAATCTGGACAATGATTCTGCTGCGGATGCGCTTTTTGCATGTTTCTTTTTCTTCTTCTCAACAATGATGACGATTTATTGTGAAGAACGGCGGGGAAGATCTTGAATTGTGAGTGTGGGTTTCGGTGGCGGAGCTAGTTGGTGAGGGGGGACGTATTTACTGGTCCCCCCTTGCCAAGACTTTTATTTGCGGCTACCGGTACTCTGACTACGCTCCGACATGATTGAATGATTAACAGCTCTGATCCTACGAACAGAATGTAGAAAGATGCGGCGATAGTAGGGACAATTTGCATAATATCGGGACTTCCCCCGAATTTCACAAGGCGCTAGTATATTTGTAGTTGGCGCTAGGAGCCTTCTATTACTAAGGTTTCAAAATCACGCTTTTAATTTAATGTGGACTAAATACAACATAAACAATATTTGGGACAGTATTTTCCTTATCGTGTCTGAATCAAATATGACACAACTTCAACGAACGCAAAAATTGACCATTTTGAGTGCATATAATGACAAGTCCAAAAAAACTTCCTGGCGCAATGGTATTTAGCTCTGTTCTTCATCTCATTTTCGCTCTTTTGGCTTTTTTTAACCGGCTGCATTCCTATGTTGCTCGCTTGGCTGACCTTTTTCTGTTGACTAATGCCTAATGCGCAAAAACGATTGGTCGGCTTTCCATATTTCCCTGCTGAGAGTTATAACTCACCCCATCAACCTTCAGCCCGTCTTCATTAAGAAGAGTAATAAGGTCACCATTGCTCGAAAGACGGAGGTTTGGCACTCCAAAGCATCCGGTAGACAAGGGGTTCAAAACTGCATTACCAGGAAGTTCTTGGGCTTGACCAGCTGAGGTATGCAGTTTCCACGATGCCAAAGATACCTTGTGGTTTGTCAGATTCGTAAGAGTGACTGATTTTCGCTTTTGCACAACTGCTTCCTTGATAACCACTGAATTCTCAGTTAATTCTGTGGGAAGGAATTGACCCCAAGTCAAAGACGATATAGCATGACCGGATCCATCATCTGTGTGCACAGCTTGTGATGCAAACGCAAGAAAAATCCCAGTCCATTGACCAGTCTCCTTGTAATGGATGAGAAGACCTCCGTCCTGAAAAGTTCCATCATCTTGACGGAATTTCTCAATGTTGCCCTGGTTCATGTGCACATTGTGAATCCCATTTCTAGTGTTGAAACGGGAACCGAAAATGTATATCTCCGCTTGTTTTTTGATTGATTCCTGTACTTCAGGCACCAAGACATCAATCATATCATTGTTTGGGCCGTCGATGTCATGGCGAAGCAGGCGACCTTTTTTGGCATCAAATAGGTGAGATCGAATATAGTCCAAGCCGTGGCCTTCAAGCTCCTCGAGATCATGGAAACCGTAATCCACCTTGGCTAGATTTTGAACCATTGAATGCTCGCTCAGATTATAATTCACCCAATAAGCAATTCGAGAGTCCCGATCAATAGACTTGATGTTGATCGCTGCACGAAAGAGCCCAGGAATTTCTTTCGGTCTGTCCTTATTCGGAGGCTTGTTTTTGTGTTTTTGACGATACTTGCGGTCAAATTGTGGCTCCATTTCGCGATTATCATGGTAATATAGAGATAAATGTGGAGATTTTGGGTCTTCGAAACGGTCCTCAACCTCGTAATGAACGGGTAACCCCTTCCAAACACCGTAGTCGTCAACAGGCATTTCGGTTTTAAATTGCGACAATAATCGAGAGGATTCAAATTCTTATTAGACGAGGAATTTTATCTTGTAGAGAACAGTATAGGGCTTTACCATAGGAATTTAACCTGCTTTTGTAGGTATGACCAGCGTTCAGGCAAAGGACTTCAGTGACGGCGTCTTCGGAGGCATACGGCTCAACACCCGTCAGTATGACATACTGAGAGGTCTAGAACTACCTATCAAACGTGACGACCCATATTCATAGTGGCCTAGAAGTTCTATAGGATCGGCCGAGCCCATCATTGTTTGTCCTTAGATATTCAGTCTTTGACAGACACGTTCCAGTTTGTATGTAGGCCGGATAAAGTGACTAATAAATTCTCTGTATTTCCTCTAGGCTTGAAGTTATTGGTCCTAGGTGCCTGTTGATGTGTAAATGTAACAACAGTACCATGGGGAGCCATCATAGTAACTCTTCCGTAAATACAAATTGTCTTTAAGATTTCACCGACATGATTTCCCATCGTCACTCAGAACTTTTTAGGAAAAACTGTCATTCAAAAAACCATAAGCATCTCCTTCCAGTCTCGTTCAAATTCGATTAGATGTCCTATTTAGATCTTTCTAGACCACGCGGTGTTATTGTTGCTGCGTTATTTGTACAAGACCAAGAGCGATCATCGTTATTGATATTCTAGAACAAGACGAGGATAAAACCATCTGCATTGCTGAGTACTATCCCCGTTTATTTGATGGCTTTACTTATATGATACAGATCTAGGACAAGTCCAGACGTAACTTCCGGAATGGTCCCACGCATTAGCTATGCACACCCTAGTTATGGTGCGCCAATAAGCCTCCATTATCAGGCCCCACCTAACGTAGGTCTAAAATATAGAGCAACTATGTCCGATTGCGGCTTTGAGCTTTATTATATTACACTCACGCCGCTCGTCCGAACCATGAAACTTCTTAGTCTAGGCGGCTCTATTTACCAAAGTAGGTGTACGGGTGCCCGTCAGACGCAAGAAGCTGACTCCGGGTTAGCCCAATGTAAGTGATCATTCAACCTGGGATATTATTCAACAGTCGTGAAATCCAGATCAAGAATCGCCCGTGGGTCCAATTATTTTCCATATCAGTAGCGCTCCATAATAAGCGATGGCTTTAGTGAGCCCCGTGCGAGAAACCAACCCTTGCTCTGCAAGTAAGCAGTTAAGTTGGTCTGCTCGATTAAGGCTGTCTTGTGGCTCTTTGTTTTGAAAGAAGCTTCAACAATGTACTCAATCCCCGTACCCTGGAGGTTCAAGAGGGGCCAGATCTCCAGATATAGAGGCATCTCGTTCCACGAGCCAACAGAGCGCCTCACGAGGACCGGGCCAAAGATGCGCGATACTGCTAATGTGTCAGTGCCCCATTTGTTGGGCCTCCAATTATCGAACTTGTTCGGCGCATTATCGATCAGCATTTTACGGGAGTTGCTTGTTCCTGGCAGGTCCATTCCGCTTTTCCCAGAGTCCGCTGCCGTTTTTTTGCGGCTAACAGAAAGTGTCTGCTGCTGGTAACCCCATTCGACTTGCGCCTCGTATTTTGCGTTGCCAGCGTTGAAGCCATCGTTGTTAGCCGCAATGAGAGCAGCTTCAATGTCGCCGCCTGTGACGGCATACCGCTTCTTATACGTCAGCTCGAAGTTATCCTCGTTTTCGATCTTACGGATACGGGCGCTCCAGTCGGCGGCATCTCGAAGGTCGATAGGACGGTAGCTGTTACCTCATGTTCAGGGCTGAGCATTGCAGTTGGGTTGAGCAGGTGCCGAATCTCGTAGTCGGGCATCATATTTGGTGCTGCCCGTGTTGGGGACATGATAGTGGCAGTCGTGGCGAAGGAGGGGCGCGGGCAGGATATGTATGGGAGCTGTGAGCTCGGAGGCTGACTCAGATGAAGCGACTAAAGCAATAGAGGACCCAGGATTACTTGAGTAGATCAAGGTAGTCAGTATCGCGTGCTGTTAAGGTATTTATGCGTGTTGGGAGACTTGGTTGTGTTTGGCATGATAGAATTAGCTCGCGTAAATCAAAATAAGCTTTGATTATTGGCATCTAGGAATCGACAAGCATTTACCTATGACTACAATCGTAGGTTGTGTCATTCCCATAACGAAGAAAAATAAAGTTTAGTTTACTTCGGTGCCATGGATCTTCCCAGGCGGACCTCCGCTTTTTATCCGCAAACGGTGCCGGTCCTACCCGGAGGTACCGGCGGGGTCCAGAGCGGGCATTTGCGATGGACTTTCAACCTCTGGATGGTGATACGTTTCTCACGTATAAGACCCACTTTCGAAGCTGGAATCGCACTGTATCCTAATGGGGTGGTGATCCGACTGATAAATCAGTATTTCTGCGAGGGACTCGTGAAAATCGCGGAGAGACCTTTAACCCCTATATTATTTGGGGAAGCTTCAGGAAGCGAGGGATTTGCCCATTTAATCCCGATTTAGTGGTTCAACCACTTACTGAGCGAGAGGAGCGTGAATTTGTGCCACTTGAGGGCTTCGATCAAATTTTTGAGGATGATACGCGTAGGGAACTGCTATAGCCTTCGCGCGAATGTCGGGATCCCTCAGTTGCCCTATCCTCTCGGAGCGTTAAAAAAAGCTTCCAAAAGCTACTGAAAACGGCCCAAAGCCCAACAAATATAGCCGAGAGAGTTCAAAAGCTGGAACGGCGGATCACTCGCCTCGAAAACGCGACAGTACCTCGATTCGAAGAGCTTATTTTAAAGGACTCTCTTCTCGCCAAGGTTAACGGAGTTCGCAACGAATACACAAACACTAATCGCTCTAGAAGGCAGATTACCAAGATTAAGGTGCTTTCTACAAGAGATGCGAATGCGCGCATTGCGCAACGCTCTGAAAAGGAGAATCAGCAGTGGGTTCGGCGGGTGCATAGAGAGAATGCGAAAAAGCTTGCAGAAAAGCTTGCAGAGGAGGAAAGAATCGCAAAATTAAGGGAAAAGGCCCTTGCTGGTAGTGAGATTGATCGTCTATTTGAGCCTTTTGACCTATCTTTCGAAGATACTGAAGGGGATAGCTCACTAAGAGTGTAAATATTCAGCTATGGGTAAATTAGCTACCTGATCGCGCGAGTAGTATACGTGATATTACCATGGAATGGGGGTCAGATTCTTGTATTGTCCATGGTTGATGTATTGAGGGCTTGGCGGTTTCGCCATAATAACGCGCGAAATTACGCAGCAAATCTGACCCCCATATATCCACTATATATTTCCCGATCGCCACGCAAACATACCACAAACATAAACAAGAATTGGTTGCACAAGACACATGTCATTAAATGGCAGTCGTTTCACCAGTAGGTATGGGTATGCCGTTATGTCGATCGAGGTCCGCCAAGAGGTTCTTTGGACATAGAGCTCTGGATAGGCTGGGCCGAGACACATAATCCGAATTATGCGTCACAGTCATCTTCTTCTCCGGGCGCAAAACATACTCTGGCATTGCCAGCAAAACGTCCTTTTTGGCCCATTGCCAGCCAGTTTGGCCACCACTACCATCACCGGGCCCCTCGATCACATACCCGGCCAGCGCAGCTGGAGAATAACTTGGGGCCAGATTGGTCTTCCGGATCCGGGCAATCGGATGGAAGGATTCTTTAGTGGTGCAAGCGCTCTTGTCATCCCGTGGAACCTCCGGATAGTTTCCCGGCGTGCGGTCCTGTTTCCCTAGCCCCCGGAAGAACGCACCCTGCAGGCCAGCAAAATTGGACCTGATGTACCCACAGCCCCAGTCATCGTTTTGTTGGCCTAGGGCGTTACGTTCGGCCCGCGCAGCCCGGTGTTTCTGGATTAGTTCCTCGATTATCACACTTTCAAAAGTCAACATTCCAGAAAGATTGTCCACCTGGAGGTCCGGAGTTAGTAGTCAATGAATTGTGATAATAAATCAAGTAGAAGAAGAGGTGGTAAAAAGGGCATACCATCCATGCAAATGTGATATCCTCGATTTCACAATTTGGAGCTCCACCCCCAATATTTTGGTGTACGCCGGGAAACCAACATTGCTGTAGATCCTTGGCTGGCGCATCCTGAGTTCTGTGCCATAGGGTCGGTGGGAAGGTGAGTCGTCTCTCATCGATAGATAGGGCTTGAAAGGCATAGTCTATGTCTACACCATCTGGTAAGCGGGGTTGCATTCAAAGTATAAGACGGTGTGCAGTGATGAACTCACTTTTTGACACATTTGTGTTGTGAAATGCGTACTGCTTTGAAAGATTGATACCCACTTTTGAAGCCAAATTTACGAACGGCCAATCAGGGATCCCCTGATTAACACAATGTTAGCTCCTGTCACTTGCTGCTTCAGAAGAATCTGCACGTACTAGAGCGCCAACCGTGTCCCAAACGCCCACTACTTTGATGCGGACCTCATTCTCTAAGCGCAGTTTGCCTTGATTCTGCTGATACCATGCGGTCTTCCGGAAGGGCTGTCCGCCGGTATTCTCCCGGTAAGCCTTCCACATTTCGGTGAAGTGCGACATGTGTTGGGATGAGAGCACGCCTATGTCGGAGACTAGGCCAGCCACGGAGCGGACGGTAAAAGCGCCGCGCGAGAATCCAAAAAAGAACAACTCGTCGCCTTTAACATAGTTGTTGGATATGAACTCGTAGATCTGACAAACTTCATTGTCTAAACCCCAGCCGATGCCGCCTGTGATATAAAGGAAGCAGTTATCACATTAGCCCTGTACGGTATCAAATTGACAACACCGGACCTTACCATAAATAGCCTTCTGGAAAGGGAGCTCTCCCGCTCCCAGTCCAGAATGATATGAGACAATTTGCTGAACGATGTTTCCATGGAGGTCTGGGCCACTCGTCGCGATGGTGCGAGCGATCCTCGCGACGTTGGACGGCATGGACGCGTCTCCCAGGTCGGACGCAAGCCAGGTTCCGTCTGCACAAAGGATGATACGTTTATAACTTGCCAGCCGGGCCGCTAGCTGCGCCGATTCGCGGGGCATGACGGGAAGGAGTAGAGACGTTAAGCTGGTCTGCGAGGCAGTTTGTGTGTATGATGATCATGTTGTCTGGACAAGGGGAGTTAATGTTAATATATCCATTTGTGCCACGCGATCCAGCGGGGAATATTGTCCTCAAAGGTGTATCGAGTGACCGGCTCGCGATGGCAAATCAAACCTAGCCATCATTATGGGAGAATCTCTCAAAGGAGCCTCACAGTTTGACAGTAAGATGACGTCTTGCGAATTGGCTTATCAGAGAAATATCCCCGCTTGCAGTCAAGTCTCAGTCCCAGCTCATGGTTCATAGCGGATTTGATTGGTGGGTATGAAACACCGGGGTTGAACCAAAAAGACACCCAAACACCCCGCTTGCAGCAAAGGCCTCGAATCTGACTGAAACCAACCCACTCGTTTTGCATCTGCAGCTGCAATAGCCTACGATTTGAATAATATTACCGACAGCAGGTCTCAAAGACTGCGCAATGGCAATGGATGGGAACCATGAGAGATAGTGTAAGGTTTGGCTAGTGGATTTGATCCGTTCCAGGTTTCGCTTGTTTGGGAGGTGATTGACGCAATCTTGTAAAGAGGTATTTAGATGACGTACTTCCATGAGCTGGAAGGGCGAGTTTCCGTCACCAGTCCACTACTTAACCCAATACAATGGCACGCACCTATTGAGCGGTAAGAGCAGACAATGATACGTCGAGAATTTATCCGAGATATGATCCTGAGCAAATCACTAACCACGACCGAGATTGCTGATGCTGCTGGATGTAGCGCGCGTTCTGTCACCACAATCCGCAGTAGACCTGGGCAAAGCTTTGGTGAACACATCTGCCAAGTTGTCCTTTGTATTGACGCGCTGGGTGTTGATAAGCCCTTCCGCCAGTTTCTCACGTACGAAGTGGTGCTTGACGTCGATGTGTTTGGATTTGTTGTGGAATTCTGGGTTTCTTGTAAGCTTCAAGGCCGAGTTGCAGTCGATGTAAAGCGGAACTGTGTCGATATATCCCCCCGGAATGCGGATGTTTTCCCACTTCCGCTCTTGAGTCCAGTAACTGCATTGATCGCATGGAGAATCTTCCAGAAGTCACGGGCAGCAAGGAAACAATACAAGCACCAATATGATTTCAGTAACATCGAAAAAGTCGTTGCTGTGGTCGCGCCATAGCTAGGAAGCGCGAGAATGCGGGTAATGCTGAAGTCGGAAATTTGGACAATGAGTTTGTTGCAGATATGGGTTTGTTGCGGTTATGACTAGCTGAGCGTTTTCTTGTCTTGGACTCGACCTGGAACGGTGATGGTTTGTTGTGAAACCGGCGGTGAAGATCTTCTATTGTGAGTATAGATATAGTGGAAGGAACAGGTTCTCGGGTTTCAAGAATCGATCGTGGTGGAGTCCTAGTGGGTTGCCGGAGGACCGAAGTATAGGTTGGCTGATGGTTTAGGGGTAGGGTAGTGATGGTTGGTATCGGACGGGGAAGCTGAAGCGAGAGGGTTGGTGGAGGTAAGGTTGATTCCCGGTCCGTCGTAGTGGATGGCGGGTGAGCACAGGAGTCATTAAAGTATTCTTCTGCTGTGGAAAGGATGCTTGTGTTGGTTTGGATTGTGTTTGGGTACTAGCGTCGGTAATCGTCTTCTTGTGTTGTTCGCTCTTAGAGGATAGAAAGGGCCAGGGGCTAGCTGGTGAGGCAGACGGGGTATATCGGTGGAAGAGGAGAGCGTGTCGGGGTCGTCAAGATGTTGTCTTAGGTCACATGAGATGACCTTCTATATGCAGTCCGCTCTATGTAGTTGCTGTAACTCTTGGAATGGTGCGCGCTGGAGGCTATCTAGGCGTCTGGCTGACTGACACGCAAAGCAACAAGCCAGGCCACCATTTGAGAAGGGCTGGGAGTGAAAGTCATTCTTGGCCAGCTGTAGCGGGGTGACACCGCTGAGCCATAAGTCCCATTTAAGGAGCGTTCTTTTGTTAATATCTCAAGGGATTTAGTGCCCTGCACGAAGGATGCTTGATAGACGTGGGGGGCTTGTTCTTCATCTCGATGCTGGATGGCGGGTTGACCGCAATCTTGTAGGACTGTTGTCCCATTGTTGGGCGACCCTTGGGATTGTATCTGATGACATTCCAAGGTGGATTTGCACTGGTCCCGTTGCTTGGATCGTCGTGGCTGCAAATTATCACGGTCTGGAGGACTCGTGTCTTCATAAACACAGGACTCGGATTTGCCGTGGGCAACGCAAGACTGGCAAGAAGGCACTTCGCGACTGCATCGTTGTTTTGAAATACGGCACGGTAAGCAGGATCGGCGGCGTGGAGGCATCGTGGACGGAGAGATTAAGTGAATTTAGTGAAACTGGTGGTGGTGGTAATCCCAAGGTGCGGGAACAACAAGTCAAGTTGACGTGCAGAGTTCACTTAGTGACAATATGAGACAGGATTACCTCTGCAATTGGCGGCCAAAGTGCCGTTGGTAGAGATTTATAGACAGATCTGGCAAGATTGAGGATTTCCGATTTCGAGAGCGCCCAGGTAACCCTTTCGATTTTGGATGAAATGAACATAGCCAAGAGGGTGCGAGAACAGACGCATCACGAATTTATATTGTCCGTCAATGAGCTCGTGGTTCTCTAACGGTGTTATGTATCCAAATACCTCAATGGCTTAGATGGACAAAGGTATGCAAGATCCTAGGCACGTATCAGCACATCCCTGGGAATACTAATCATAGTTTCCCGGATCCCTTCATGACACCCCAGGAATACCACGGTGGGCCCTAGAAGCAAATGTACCCCAAGAGTCAAGAAGTTTGGCTCGTAATCTGCTTTTGCTGATTACCAGCGCTTCTGCCGCTGTCTGCACTCATGCGGTTTGGTTTTGTCCGCAATGAATTGTTCCTCGTGATCGAGGGCTAGGCAGGAGGCTCAGGCGAGACGTCACTGAGGACCTGCTGTACGCACAAGCTCTCTTTGACGTTCAACTCTGCTAACGTGTTGAGCATTCAACGAGGCCGGCTAAGGAACCAGCTTAACGTGCGTCTCAGAAGGTCCAACAGAATTCGGTTGCAACGATGAGTTTAATGACGCTCGAATCTGCCAGTGCAGCTCAACGTTGGAGATCATTTTTGTAACTTTGTACCCGATATAAACTGTTTGCAACATCACCATGAGCCCGCAGTGAGAAAGCTCCGCTGCATTCAGGATTAAGCCCTTGACGAGATGGAGCATATCCTCATATGTTAGTTGTTGGCCCACCACACCAAGTCATAGACTGAAGATACTTGGTCACCGTTCACCAGTTTCAACGCTCATACCCACCGACGATGGCCGTCCGCGTATTGGAATTTGGACCGGTGTTTTTCGCAAAGTATTGGACTGATCGTTGAGTCAGCATTAAACTTGAACAGAAAGGATAGGTAAACGCCGAAGCCTAAGCATCTTATCGATGATGGTTGAACAGCCACCTCAAGGCCCTAATATGGAACCCTCGCTGAATGCATGTTCATCTGTCAACTTTTTCTAATCCACAGACTCAACATCACTAGTTCAATATAAGCTCAATTTCTCTCGGCCACCAACTAAAATTGACATTCCAACTGTGGCTCAAATATGTAAATGGAAGTTGACTTGAAACATTTTTCCAGCGGGCCTCAGATTTGGGCAGCTGCACTGACGATTATATTTCGACGGTTGCCACTCCCAATAGCAGACGCGCTAGTGCCAAACAAAGCACATGACAAGGCAGGCCGACAAGTCTATAAATACCCCCTACTACGCATTAGTCTTTTGCTCTTCTAGCTCACTGCATGGCTCTTCCAAACCCGACGAAGCCTTTTTCATTTGGAGCCAGAAGCTCGGCCTCTGCAAACAAGACTGGACTAGAAAGTTCAGACACTACCAGCGGTCCCCTAGTAAGTTCTTCCCTATTAATCAACCTCTGGTTCTTCCACTGGACTGACAAAGGCATAGCACGTCGTTGATTCACGTGAGTCACGTAGTGCCCGTGACCACCCCGCGCGAGGTACTATATCCTCCTTCTCTTGACTGTCGGTCCCGTTCAAGTCTTGCGTTGTCCCGTGACTGTTCAAACTCAATGACAAGATATCCGGCTTCTCGACAATAATACTGATCACTGGGGATTTCCTGGATGCCCAATCGAGTTGAACCTTTGCTGTTGAGACCTGCCCTCATTTTCGGTGCAAAACCGGGACCAACCGTGACGCAGGTGTGTGCGTTGTTCCCTGATCTTGCCTGATGCTAACCTAGAGGAATCTGGGTATTACCTAGGACTGCGTGTACCTGGCCCGACAGACAAGTAACCTAGGATTCCAACGCATCCAGGTGTGCCTGTTCAACTCACTCGCTTTATTCACTGTGCACCGGAGGAGCGCTTTGTTGAGCATGCAGTTCAAGGACTTGCAAATCTCCCTTCAGAAGGACCCTCGTGGAGGCCCACCCATCCCTATGATTGAACTTACTCCCGAAGGGACCAAAAAATTCCTTGGTCTGACCAAATTGTACGGCGAGCGCAATTTCCGTCTCTCCCTCTCTCGATTCCCCGGCTACCCCCAGATACGTAGTATCTTTATCCTCTCCGGAATATCTGGCTGGGGTCATGCAGCTAACCAATCAGCAGGACTACTTTTGCACTTCCCGAGATCGTTTATGGTCCCTCTCTGGTGATATACCCGCACACATTGCTTTTCGGCATCCTGTTCCATGCGCGCGCATTCCGGAATTCGAGGCTGACCTCGAAGGTGCAGTTACGGAAACTCTTTATCAGCAAAGGCTGTGGGTAGCTCCTAGTGCCCTTAGACCCGAACAAGTCTGATTGGTATATATTCTGTAAGACGGAGCTGGTTAATGGCGTTCCCACCATTCAGCGGACCGTGCAGATGTCCAAGTCGGCCATGTCCACCTTACTGGTCACCTTCGGGGAGATCCGTGGGTGGAAAGGGGCATTCCATGCCCATCAGTTCCGTTATGGAAGTGGTAAAGTGATCAACGAGAGCGGTAAGTACTTCTACGGAGGCCACTAATACTTCTCTTCCTTCTTTTCCGTCGGTGGCTAATGTAGTCTGTAGGGTGGGTGAGCAAGGAACAACACATGTTGATCATGAAGCACGCCAGCCCCCGGACCTTCCTCGACCACTATCATCCTCTACAACTCGACACCGACATGATCCGGATTATCTGTGGTCTCGACCCGGATGTGGAACTGATGCGAGCCGTCACGCGGCAAAGCCGTTGGCGGGACACGCGACGCCCCCGCTATCTGACCGATCAACAAAGGGCACAACTTGAGGATCACCCCGAGTTGGAAGAGGCCCGGCGCAATCTTAGCCAGATCCGTGCCCAATACGAGAAGACCCAGCAGCCTGCCCTGCTCCCTCGGATCCAGCAACTGGAAAAAGAGGTGAAAAACACGCGAAAACGGTTGCAAAGGAGTTTGCGGCATCAGATCCGAGAGAATTTTGATGAAGAGCAAGCATTTCTAGACATCGAGGCGCAGCTGTCTGGTACAGTGGTCAAGGAAGAGAGCGAGGATGAGTCATCCTTGGAGGACACCATGCATCCCCTTCAGTTGCATCTAGTGCAGAGTCTTCTCCCCTACCCAATCTCCAACTCGTTAGAGGATGAGTGGAATCGGCGCGATACAGGTGCTGCAGCCGTCGTGCAGTATTGTGACGTCCTTGAAGGAGGTCCATTAAGGGGCCGGCCCAAGCGGAACGCCTCTGGATCCGCTACATCGGCTGGTCCCATAAATCAGCCGCAAGATACAGGGCAGACCGAAAATGATGCCGACTCATGTGAAGTACCTTCTTCTGTCGCTAGCAAGCCGCCACGTGCTACCAAAGCATACCTTGAGAATTCTGAGAAGCCAGAGGCTTGCTTTCAATGCTTTGCAAACAAGGGGCTCCCTGACCGTGTTCGCTTCCGGATGTATCATGACGCCGGGTGTGTTACGCGTCATTTTGACGCCATTCATCTCAAAGAAAGCCACTCAAGTGTAACTGGTGTGAAGTAGCCTTGCTACATCAAATGGCGTTCCAGCGCCATGCATTTGATGTGCATCATGTGCGCAGTCGCAAGCGTTGCCCAAATCCGGTGCAGGAACTTCAGAGACAAGAATAAGCAGGCCATTATGCCGTGAATGGCAGTCAAGCGGGGGAATCCGGATAAATATAGGTATACATTGTCTGCCTCTCGGGGCAGCGCATGCAACGCTATACCCTTGTTTCATCACTATCATGGCTTGACGTCCAATCGTGCAATGCATCTTAGGATATTGCGATCTTACGATGTCCAATTATTTCCAGGGGCTGAGTCCATCACTCTTGGTTATCAGGTATATAAAGGGTCTCCTTCCCCCTGCTGGTTGCATGCTCTGATATTATCTTTTCGGCTTCCCAGGCCGGCTTCTATCGACTTTCCTCCCTTATGCGTGACGACTAAGATCAAGATGGCAAGCCCATCCGACACGATTGTTATAACCGATGACGAGGAATTGCCAAGCCTCGAGCCAGGTAGTTCACGACCTCGGAGGGCCCCTCGCCGTCCACAACCGGACATGGCTGCTTCGACAGACTCTATTCTGATCTGTAGCTAATAATCTGTATTTTCTATGATACTTTCTGCTATATCCAGTCGAAGCCAACTCTTCCGTCATGTACAAGAGTAGACGCTTGAGATATCCAGTTTTTCGCATCTCCATTATGCCGTCCAGCTGCTGACGAATCAACCTTGCTCAACATTTCGGACTCCGCGCCCAATGGAGCATTCCACAGCTCATCATTGTCTGGCATGCAAAAGGACAAATCGGCCAGGGTCAACAGAGCGTTTCTGTCACCATTGGCACTTTCTCCGGTTAAGTGAAAGGAAATGGACAATCGGCACACCTTATAGAGTGCTAGTCCAAATCTCTTGATCTCTTCAACGCTCACATATACAAGCGCAAGTGGTGCATCGGCTTCGTGTTGCAGAAGCATGTTAGGATAGGAGAAAATACCGCACTGTCGACAGCTTCGAACAAGGGCAGTCAAGAGCTCGTATTTGTCGTCTCGCAATCGGCATCGCATGCTCAAATCCATACTAACATTTT